GAAGAATCCTCAGATTTCTCGGCTTCAAGGAGAACAAATCCGTGGCCTCACGGATCTCCCAGACAACGGAGCTTCAACTTCAGCCGCAGGAGCTTTCACAAGACAAGTGAGTATTATTTTCCGGAAAAAAACAACTCATTGTAAATCATTCAGGACTCTCTCGCACTTGCTGCTTCTCTCCAACAGCGAGATCGTGAACGCAACCCTGTGGACTTCATGGAAACGGAGTTGGATCTTGACAACTATCTCCAATGCTTCACCGATCTTGATGTTCCAGTAGACAACGTGGATTTTGATGATGCCGAACTCCAAAAAGTCAACATCCTCTACGATGGAGAGCGACCTTACGAACCACCTGTGCTGAATGAGTATGAACGTCATGTAGCGTATGGTCCAGGATTTCGGAACGCTGAAGACTTTGATCCGGATGAATACAAAATGAATTGCGAGTTGAAGGCTGAAGCAGAGGCAGCAGCAGAAAGAGAACGTCGAATCATTAAAAGACCATCATACAACAAGTACAAGGATTACAGTCCGGACACAAGCGATTTGAGCGACGATGACAATGACTATTATTACAATCCAAACAGCAAAAATCGAGCAGGAGACGGATTAGCAAACTTCAAACCCCAAACGAAAGCCCGAAAGTACAATCTGAAAGCAGCCGATGAAAAAGCACAGCCAACATACAAACTGAAAAGAGCCAGAAACAACGACGCTGTCCGCAAGAGCAGAAATAAGGCTAAGGAACTTCAGAAAAAACGAGAAGATGAGCATGATAAGATGAAAAAGAGAATCGCTGAATTGGAAGGACTTCTTGCATCCGAACGGGAAGCTCGCAAACGTTCGGAAGATCTTCTGGAGACTTTTCTCAGAAATAAGTAAGGTGTTAAACGACTCTCCTCCAGAATTTTAATAAACATTTTTCAATTTTACAGAGCTCCAAAGGAACAAAAAGTTAGTGGACGCTTGATTTTGGAAACACCATCCAACTACAATCGACAACATTAAATCTTCATTCCTCACTTTTGATTTTTAAATCTAGGCCCACAGTATTTTTTTATGTCATCAAACCTTAGCATCCCTCTCATTCCAGTCACCCCGTCCAGATTCCTGTCAATTATTTCTTTCATCCCAGTGCTTCTTTTTCCCTAGTAAAATTATCTCAAAGGCGTTCAGCTTTTTTCGTTATTTCTAAAATTAAATATTTGTACCCACCATCGTCAGATTCCAAATTGTTCCGTTTCTTCTTGCAGGCAAGCTTTTCATTCTCTATATTAATTTAAAGCCTATTGATTCGTCTCATGTTTTATTTCATCAATACTCGAAATTCCGATCACTGGTACTGACTTTCTCTGGCGATCTAGGATGTGCTTATTTTTCAAGTTATAATTTTTTTTTTTTTAATTGGCCTGAAAAACGTTTGGTAATACTATTTTCATAATGAATTTGTTGGTTCTAGAAAACGTGAACAATAATTCAACTGCAATGAAAATAAAAACTGAAGCATCGTCACATTTGTTAGGAGATGCTTTGAAAATACTCACGAGACAACTCTGGATATGCTGCGTGGTGTTCTCTGAAAAATTGTTTTCATGATTAAGTTGTACGGCTCAGTTTATTGTGAAGCTTTTCATTTCTATTCATAAGTTACATAAGTTTGAATCGAACTGTTCATTTCGGTGTTTTTTGTTCGTTTTTTTCTAACCTGCCTAGAAAAAATTGTCTGACAGCACACCATTGATGTCGTTTTTTTCTCTAACTTGGAGTTTTCTTTGCATAATCTTTTTTTGTGATTAATCAACTTTTTTATTCTTTTCCGATTTTTTTATTTGCCTTTTTCGTTCGAGCAAGATCTTTCAACCTATAAAATCTTCCAGTTGATTCATTTGATCATAGGCTTGATCAAGCAAATGAGTTGCGGCTTCTTCAATAGTGTCTTTTAACGTAAAGGAAGCGATTATGGCTGAAAATAACATTAAGAAATTACTTTTTTCATTTGAATTTGAACTAGACTGTTTTCCTTGTTAGGAAACTACAACTTTCTATTGTAAAAATTCTGGTTCTTGCTCACTCTAATTTTTTAGTTTTTCTTCCTTCATGACTCGTGCTCATTTTCGTGTAATAGGGATTATTTCGCAATACTTTTTCAGCCTAATCCTTCTTGACCCACTCACCTCGTACTTGAAAATAAAATTGGAGGGAACAACATATTCTTGATAGCCGCCGCCCGGTGGCATGGTAACTTAACCGTCTGAGAATGAATCTAAAAACCAAATAAGAATCGAAGGATTTAGTGATCAGAATCTCTTTGAAATTTCAAAAAAGAAGGTATCAAGAAACAAAAGTTTGTACTATCACAACGTTTAAATGACGCGTTTTGCTGGGCTTAAATTTGGAGTGAAACAATTCACATAAATCATCAGTAAACTGACCAAGTTTCAAATTATTAAATCAATTTGAGCTGAGTTATCGCTCGTCGAAAATTCTTAATCTCATGAAAATCTCATGAAGTCGTGAAAATCGCCTTTTTAGAGAAACTATAAAATGTTCTAACGGGGAACAACAAAAGGAACAACTAACAAAGTCTGTCCTAGTATTTTCGTTTGAAATGTGAGGATAGATTTTTTCTATCATTTTTCATAGTTTCGAAAATATTTCAATCACCAAGGGACTCGTACTGTCGCCAGTGACATCATAAGCTTCGGAGTGCACGCAACTGTCTTTTTATCTCAACTTTGCCAGCCCTTAAAAACTTTAGTAATAATGGTGAGTAGCTGCAAATTGATAAGTGTCAAGATCAACTTTCCCTAAATCATTTGTAAAAATTTCCGATTACCAGTTTTCCAGAGACTTCGAAATTAGTAAATTTTCGGTTTTTCGAAATAAATTGATCTAACGGCTCAAAATGTATATTTTTGGGTAATTGCGATGTTGATATTCCATTAAATTTGTATCAGGGATGTTTATGAAAATTTATAGCTCTGTCAATACATCTTTATGAAAATTCGGTTCGCAAGGCAAATTTTACCCGGATTCTAAGCAAAAGCCAGGGTCCCTATTGAAGGGGTTTCTGAGAAGGAGTTTCTCTGGATTTTATGTAATAATGGTAGTTGCATGTGCCTTTCTCGTGACAAAATTCTAGTGAAATCGTGGAGTCTAACATGGAGTCACATCAGTTCAAATCAGAAAACAGCTGCATGCGTTCTTCGACAATCATAACAACACCTTATTTTGAAGAATTGCTTTGAAAATATCAGGGACTTTTGCATCAAAAATAAAGCTACGTTTTTGCCAGATTACGCACTTCTGAAATACTAATTTCCGAAGATGTACCTGTTTTCATTTGTGAGATGCGTTTCCAATAACGTGCTTGGTTTCATGAACTGTGTTTATGTGGGATGCCAACCCATAAGCGTTTACTTAACAATCACTTTTGTGAGAATTTGGGGATTTGAATGGATTCATGGAGCAACTTCTATACATATAAAATTTCAAATTTTATAAATCAAATGGAAAATAGTTAATGATAGCGTAGCTATAAGAATCGGACAAGTCAGAAATGAAAGATCTTGATTCAGCTTTTCGTTCCTGAAGATATTTATCCGTATCGGCGTCGAGAAGGGAGATTGTACATGCAGCCACTGCCGAGATGTTGGCTTAAGTCGAATGTCTGAAAAACACCTGGTCGTAATTTCATTGTCAAGCGTCGCAAGCCCAATTGTCGCAAGCCCAATTGCTTGTGACATTCATGAAACTTCTTCATATTTAAAATTATCAACATCCGGCTAAAAAGTCGAAGAAGTTTGCACCTGTTAAAAACAAAGTAAATAATAATTGATTCTTAAACTAACGGGCCGAAGTGAGTAACAAACAGATTTTCCTAGAATCAACCCGGATAATTTCAATGAAGTCATTCAAGTTCAACTTCTTCAAATAGTTCAAATAAACACATTTCTAGTAAAACGTTTCCTATTAAAACGCATTCTCAAAATCTCGAAAATTTTCTGATTCATTAGAAAAAACATACCATTGTGCATTTTCAAAGCTATACAATTCGCGAATTCCCCGTTACAGTCTACTGCTACATTTGGTGTCTTAAATGTAAGCGTGCGTGGGTACACTGAAAAACTACTTTATTTCCAAATTTTTCAGTAAAAAGAGAAAACTCACAATTACTTGGTGGTTGCAGATGCACCTTCCATGATACGGTATCTTTTATTTCAAATGTGGAGAGGTAAAGTTTTTTCTTTACTATATACAGCTGTAAATTAATATATGTTTGAAATAAAACGCCACTTTATTTGATTTTTGAAAGGGAACAAAGCAGTGATTGAAAATAACATAACTAATTTTAATCTTGGCTCACAGGGTTACAATAACTTGAAAATCAAACAGTTTTCATCTCTTGTTACCCTGTGCATCAAGGAAAAATTATATTTTTCAAAATCTTAAAAGAGTAAGGGCTTTATAGTAATTTCGTTCACCTTCACGTAATAAGAACTTACTATTTGTATGTTGGAACTCTTTGAAAACAACACTACAAAATCGTATCCTGGGTTTGAGCTTTGCATTCTGAAAGTTAAGCGATAATTACAGAAGACACGAGAATACTTACTCTCTTTCATCAACGTATGCTCGCTCGGGAATCATCACTTTGTACACTAATCTGCATTGAGGGACCCGAGTTTTAGCTTGAATTGCGGCTGTGAGCTCTATTTGTCTGTGTAGTCCATTCCCATATATCTGAAATAAATCATCTCCATTGAAACATTGTTTTACCACGATAACTATTTCTGGCTTGAAAAATTCGCACTGTCACATGACTGAACTCGTTCAATTCTGACTATTTATTTCCCGTTCGAATGAATCAATAATACTTTTCTTTCTGAAAAATTTGTTTCTGAAAAATGTAACGTTAAAAACTTATATGCGTATGCTATCGCAAAAAAGGGCAATTCTGAAAGATACCCTTTCTTTGCAGTGCCAATCAGAACCAAGTTAAATTTAGTGATTTTCTTTAAACAAACTGACATTTTCAATTTGATAAACACCAATTTACTTTGATACTTACATTCAATTCTCCATGTGGCTTGTTGGAAATCAACCTACAGCTTTGGTCGTCCGCAGATACGAGTACAATACACCATAAAAATACAAGGTACATCATTTTCTGTTCTAATGGACCCACACTGGGCACCTCATGTATGTTTCTCTTGTTCACCCGCGACACACCAATTTTTTTGCCACCTAGTGCGCACCCTACTCGGGTCACCAAACAAAGGCAACACATACGACGCGCAATTGCGGACAGCGGCCTCCTCATTGTTTATACTGAGGTTGCACTCATTATCGGTGTCTTTCCGTTCCTTTGCTATTGATTTTGTTTTATTTGTCTCATTGTTGTCAACATTGATGGATTTCTCATTTTTCGATATTGTGAAGATGATTTTTGCAGGTAGATGTCGGAAGCTGTAGAAAAAATCCGATCACACGATAAATACCGTCAATTCTATGAGCTTGCCACTAAAATCCGCAATCAAAAATTGCTCGCCGATGCCGAGGTTGTAATATAGTTTTGTCCGATATACATTTCACTGTTACATTTCAGTCTGCTTCACTCCATCGCCACAAACAAGAAGTTGCGGACCTCGAAGTCAAATTGCTAACTGAAGCGTGGAGGAGCTCTTATTGGACGGTCAGTTTGATTATCGAAAGTTATAAACCATCAAGGTTTTTTGTTTCAGAACGTTTCTCGCCAGCTCAAGAGTCAGTCTTTAGACCCTAGTTATGCTTGCCGCTTGCTCAAAGAAATTAGTGACACCGAGGCTCTGGCTGCCTATAAGTAAGATTTTTTGATTGGTTCAATATTTTATTATTATTACTTTTAGGCACTTCGGACATCATTATTCAACATTGAACCAATTGCTCACAGTTCTCTACATGGAACCAACATCAGTGGCTGAGTTGTTGAACATGTGGGACCAGAATGATGTGAATACTTAATTTTTGGGAACTATAACTAATGTCGGAAGTTTTTGGTACATAAATCAGGCTCAAAGTATCTAACATTATGTCAAAAATATTTGGATTATGAGAGTTTGCTAGCATCGCGGTTTTTTAATCATGACATTTATAATTTTCCGGACTGAACAATCTAATTTTTACAGGTCACTACTAATGACAATTTGATCCAAACGTTCTTTCACCTGGTTTACTCTTGCGGGCTCTATCCTGACGATGAACTCAAAATTGCTCAGGTACCATATTTGCAATGTAAACGCATCTAATCTCCATCGTGTATCTATTTGCAGGTTGTTTGCTACCTTCTGAAACTCCAGTTGGTCAAGTCAGGGTCTCAGATGAGAACTATGCTGAGAAAGGAAACATCAATTTCGACTAGATTTTACAAATACTTTGTGGAGCAAATGCATCCGACAATGGTGTATCTTACAAAAGCGCTGCGGAAGAGTGTTCTCAATGTTATTCAACTTGGAAACTTTTGGCTTGACGTGGATATGAAACAGTCAAGTTCCAGATTCCTATCCGACGGCCGCCAAAACTCTGAGAGATTGCCAGAGTACCGAGCGCTGGTCGTTTCCAAGCTGGTCGATTTTGTGGACAATTTTTTAGAAAGTGAGAGATCAAACTTCACGCTTGAGCGTTTTATCTTATTTTTCAGATATTTCTCTGGCTCTCTCCATGCTACCACCAAATTTGAACTGGATCGTGAGAGATATATTCTGCTCGCTTTACGAAATCGTTGACGATATGTCCGCTATTGAGCTCAGTCATGCATGCAAGGATATGATCGTCTCAAATCTTCTCTGTCCTGCGATTATCAGCCCTCAAAAATTTGGAGTTGTTGATAATGACGTGCGCATTGGTTCTATTGTTAACCACAACCTGGCACAAATTGCGATGATTATACAAATGATTTCATTAAGAGAGTTTGAATCACCTCCTGAAGAATATCGAGAGTTTTTGAGTCAGTGTAGAGTATGTCATTGATGGTTTCGAGCCCAATAATTTTCAAAATGATTTTCAGAATACTCATCTTATTTCCGAAATGATGGATTCGTTGTTAGTGGAAAACATGGCCCCCGATGTGGAGATCACGTCACTTATAGCTAGCGGGAAATCTGAGTCTGACTTGGAAACGAAGTCAAATTTTGTTGGGTCTCTGGCAGATGCAAATAAGTTGGTAGGTCAATATTCTTTCACAAAATCATCTATAGAACAGAAAAAAATGTTCAGATAAAAATGATCCGCGAAACGCCTCCAACTACCGATTTGAAAATTTCGCGAATCGTCTCAGTATGCCAGAAGATGCCCGAGTCTTTTGCATCTACTGTGGAAAAATTGCATGTAGAAAATTCTGAGGACTCACCCAAACTTTCGGCGCTCCGAAATATCCATAGAAAAGTTCAAAAATCTTTCAAACGCACCGGAGATTCTTTTTACGATCCAAACGAGCTGCATATGAAAACTGAAAATTACGGCGGAGTATTTGAGAAAGAAAACTTTGATGTGTTCTTTCTGGACTTTGCTTCGTGAGTTTAATACTGTTATAATTTTATTACTTGACGACACATCTTTTTGATAAGTGGCCAAATTACGCAATTCCAGAGAAAATTACGCGAAGCCAGTGAAGTCGAACGGAGAAAGCAAGAAGCCAGAAAACAAAAACAATTAAAAGAAACTGAACTTCTTATTATGGACAATATCTCTAGTGATTCTGCTCCAATAACTATCAAGGCTTCAGCTGCAACCAATGCCCCAATTGCCAACAACAACTTTACTGAAAATAAGGATCTCATTGACTTTTCGACGCTTTACACTACTACTGAGTAAGCTATGATCTTTTTTCTGTCTTAATGTAATTTTTTCTACAGTGATGTGATAAGCATACCCTCCGAGCCCTCAAAAGAAGAGAAATCTGTGGAAAAGCCAAATGTGAATAATGTCTCAGTCGACGCTCCAGTGGAGGCTCTACAAATCGGAGAATCCAGGGGAGGACTTGCAAAACTAAAAAATTTCAGTGACCGTATGAAGAAAGGTAAGACTCTAAAATAATTGGGATTGAATGATTTTTTGCAGGTATCACTCAGTCTAACACACTTTCTGACATACGGGACCATCTTCGTCGAAGCAGTTCTCTTGCAAAACAACCAAGCGGGATGGTGAGCAGTGCAAGTGCTCAAAACATACCAGATACAGAAAAAGGAGATTCGATTCTAGCAAAGTATGCCTCAAATTCGTCAATTAAAATCGAAAAATCGACATTCACAAAGCTGACTGACACTAAGTCAATGCCAAAAAACACGGAGATGTCTGAGCCATACTATTCTCCAGAAAATCTTACTTCCTGCAGGTTAGTTGAAGCATAGTACGTTTTTTATTGAGCAAGTTTCAGAGCATTCAAAGACACTCTCCGTAAAATGATCACGGTTCTTGGAAACGTCTCCTATCTTCCAAAAATTGGGTGTAGGAGCGAGATGAAAGAAATGAGCAAAAAAGTTCGTTTGGACAGTTTTCTGGACGGTGTTCTTGTTGAAACGGAGCACCGCCGAGAATATGGACAAGCTGCTCAACTCCGTGAGGTGAAGCGGTGCATCGAACTGTTCGAGAACGAAGGCGTGGAAATACTTATGGATCATTTAGTTGGAAACGAGGTGGAACAAGACTTTCTTGTCAGACAAATGCGAGAAGAAAGAGCTATTTTGATGAGAAAATCTAACGATATCTCTTCAATGGAGCAAAGAGTTTTGCTGTGAGTTGTTTTTCTAATTTTTTGAATACAATACATATGCAATTCTTTAGGAATCGTCGCCTCACGGAACAAATTCTGGTTGACAATTTGATTCAAACATTTCTCGAGACTGGATTCCAAAATAGCAAGCTAGCCAGCGGTAAAACCCCTGAAGTGGTTGCAGTGGGCAAGTTCTACAGCGAATTCAAATTTCTTCAAGCACACGACGAGCGTGCCGAGTTTCTTCAAAACTTGCTCACCTATCTAAGAGAGCGTTTGATGCAAAATTACGATTGGAACGTAAGTTTTTCGAACTTTCATTGAAAGCAAAGGTGTTTTTGTTGCAGTTTGCTACTGAATCTATGATTGCTAGAGCGATGACAACGATGGAGCGTTTTGTAATGTTCGCTGTCTACGAAATCGCTTTTTGGCCGAATAGGGAGATGGATCAAAAAAAAGACAAGTAAGAAAGAGTAAAAATATACGAAAATTACAGAAATGTGTTTCAGATTATTGCAATCTGTCATTGGGAAAGCATCAAGCTCTGTGACTCCCGTCCACGAAGCATTGAAAATTCCAGAGGTTTGACTGTAATCATTCCTGCAAATACCTGATTATTTTTAATTTTAGCATCTTCTCGGAGAAGCCCCATGGCCATCTGCTCAAGCTGAATTGTCAATGCTCGACAATTACGTAACAGCTCAAGAAAAACTCAACTGTCTTGTCCGTTGTTGTGATGTCATCAATAATTTGGTGGCATTGTCATCAAAAAATGCAGTAGCATCTGCGGATGACTTAACACCAGTTCTAGTTTTTGTCATTATCAAGGTAAATACAGAGGTTTTGATAACGAAGTAAAATAAATTTTGCAGGCAAATCCCCGTTCCCTTTTGTCAAATCTTCAGTTTATCGAAACATTTGCTGGAGACCAAATTGAATCTGGCCGTGATGCTTACTATTGGGTTAATTTCAAGTCGGCTGTCGAGTACATAAAAACCATTCTGTGATATGATTTTGTGATACGATATAATATATTTATTGCACGCCTCTACCGGCATTACATTTGTGAAACTTTCTAACAATGACCATAATGTTACGGGAAAAGAAAAAAATAAACTTTGTATAATGTAATTTTGTATTTGTTTACGGCTATATCATTTTTGCCAAAAACGTTTATTCTGCTCATCCCGATGTATCTGCCTTTCTCACTTCTCCTCTCAGTATTTTCCGCCGAGAGAGACACTGGTGCGCAAATCAATAACGTTCGTGTTGGCAGTTGTGCTCTGTGTCTCTTCTTTTTTGTGTACTATTCAGTCTCAAGAGACCAAGGCACAGAGAGAAGGAGGTCATTCGACATTGTGTATTGGCGGTGTCCCTCCGGGCTTTTTTTCCTTTTCACTCGTTTGTGTCCGATTTCTGCTTAATCTAATTTGAATACATAAGATGCGAAACGTAAATTTTCAGACATGGAAACAGAAGAAGTGGCAGTGTTTGCAGAGACACCGAAAGTTCCTAGGAATTTACCAATGCTAATGGTCAGTTTGAGAGAATGAATGTTACAGGACGGAAAAAATAGTTGTTTATTTCTCTGTCTCGTTACTACAACTTCGCAAATCTTATATTTTTGCAGAGCGAAACGCCAATTAGGTTAAACGACCATCCAATTCAATATTCCTACACGTTCTCCTATTTTGTGAGACCATCTGGGAAGTTTGACCCGGAGGATTATGCAAGCTATGTTCAGCCGGTTGGAGTAATGAAAACAGTTGAACAGTTTTGGGGGATCATGTCACATTTTCGACGCCCAACAGGTAAATCTTATTGAAAATTTCAGCTCTCATCATTTTGAAATGAAATTTTACAATTTGGCAATTGATAAAAGAAAATTGCCGTAGATTTGCTGGATTGATAGGATTGAGAGATATGAGAGTGATGCTCATTGAGTGTATTACCAGGAACATCCGAAAATATTCAACAAATATGGCTTAATATTATAAAATCACAGATCTGTGTGACAAAGCGGATATACACTTCTTCAAAACTGGAATCAAGCCTGTCTGGGAAGATCCAGCAAACTGCAAAGGTGGAAAATGGATTATTCGTCTGAAGAAAGGATTATCCTCTCGTATTTGGGAGAATCTACTACTGGCTGTTGTTGGAGAACAATTTGAAATTGGAGATGAACTGTGTGGAGCGGTGTGTTCAATTCGCAATCAAGAAGATATCATTTCATTATGGAATAGGTATGTTTCCAAATGTTTGGAAAAAACTAAAAGTGTTTCTTTTGAATTTTTTTTTGTTCGAATATGGACTTCTTACTCATAAACCTTTAAGAAGAGGCGCAAAGGTTTCTGTCTGAGCTGTTTCTGATTTTACAATATTCACTAACAAATCAGTACCTGGAAAATCAAACAACAAATATTCACCCTTTCAGAAACGCTGACGAGACTCCTGTGACAAACCGAATCCGTGATACTCTCCGCAAAGTTTTGAACCTTCCGCAAAATACTGTTCTTGAGTACAAACGTCACGATGACTGCCTGAGAGACCAAAGCTCCTATCGACACACTAACAAAAACATTCTGAAATAATTAAAATGTTTATAACTATTTGATTGCTTTTATTCGTAATTTTTCATTGGTTCTCTAATTCAAAAAAGCCTGGATGCATCTCAAAATAGCAGCTTTTCATTTTTTTAAAAATTAATTTTATGCTTAATGGAGTTATTTACTGAAATAAAACTTTCGTTGGAGTTTTTATGATGTTTGATTAAAAACGTATTTTCACTATCTTTCGAAAACAAAAACGGCTTTGAATTCAGCAGGATAAAAATCAGCCAGGGAGAGAAGCAATGGCTCAGTTTGTTGAAGTAGATTTCCTTGGAAAACGTAACAAACTTGCAACATCGAAATAGCAAAAAACCAGAAAAATGTATAGCCAAAACATAAGTTAAAGTAAGGTTTTCGGACAAGCTTCATTTCGTTCTAGTTGATTTCGAATTTTCTTCAAAATGAAAATTGCTTCTTGCTGCAAAGAAAAGGGAAGATACCATAAAAACTGTAATAGAGCGCTATGGCGTTCTATTTTTTGAAGAGGGGGGGGGGGGGGGGGTTTGGGATGACGCGAGGTAACAAAAATTGATTTTTTATTTGAATAACAGGGTACCAAAATTAAAAAAAAAAGATGCGAAGTGTCTAGATTCTACTGCTACACTGCACATCAAACATAAGTACTTTGTTTTGCTACCTCCAACTACCTCAAGGATGGCGTTGTATTAGAGAGCGTCTTTTACTACAGGTGGCGCTATATTATAGTTTTTACGGTATTTGATTTTTTCGTCTATAATGCCACATCCTTTTCAAAAATCCGTCTAAATTTGTACAAATCGGAGACAACTCCCAATCGTGAAACAAGATTGCCCTGGAATCACTAAATATGGGTGTTTCCAAAAATACAGTGCATTCTCTAGTTCTCCTTTAAAACCAGAGCATAACTTACAAAATTAGATTGCATTCTCTGTGAGAGTCAGACAAGTTGTTTGACATGTGCACATGTGTAAGACAAAAAAAAACGTCTTTTCCTTTTTAGTGAGGTAATTTCACTAATTTTTGTTGGTTTTATTCTTTCCGCGGGAATTCTTCCTTCATCCAAAGACAACTTTTGAATCCACGCTAAAGATGATTTTACTTTCTTTTCCGCAGACACTTAGGCTTACCTACCATTAGCAAAAGAACAAGTTTATTTTACATAGTGAATGTCACCTTTGATGGAAAAGAAGGGTCTGTCCATTAGTGTCATGTTCAGTCGTCCGCCATTTTGAAACTTCAAATGAACGAAATTCACCTTTTATTGTTTGCAGTGTTTTTATTTGAATCATTTAAAAGTGAGTTTGTCGTTAATCGATTTGACTGTTTGAAATTGATTTCAGTTCCATATTCTGTTCGTCTAGAAAATATATATGGGATAAAACAACTGAAAAGTAATAAGTCTTCGCATTCGGACAGTCATCTTTTTTCAAATAAGAAACGTCATATTTTTTTGTAAGCAATTGAAAAATTTCACGTAATTATTTTTCTTTTCCAGAAGGCACAGATTTCCTAAAACTCTCACTTTTTTGCAGTCTTCACAAAATTTGTGTTCTATGGCAGAGGTCAGTTGTGAATGTAAAAGGAACATGAATCTCTTAGTTTTTAAAATTGTATGCATGAACAGTTAACTAATTGCAAGTTACCACAACATTTTGATGTCATGATCCAAGTGAGCCGATTTTTAGCATTTTTAGCATAAAACTTGCTGGTTTATTACTGTGATTTTTCGTGAAAATCAGAGTTTTTTTGTAGAAATCAAAAAGTTCCCGATGTCAGCTTTCGCCATGGTTTTCAAAAGGTTTCCCTGGTGATGAAATAAAATTTTACTAAAATTTATTGTGTGTTAACTGATATCACAGAGACTTATTTTCCAAAAAACTATTTTTCAGAACATTAGAACTATAACAGTAAAAAGAATTGGAGGAAACTATCCATATGGTCCAAAACATGCTTCAGTCTCGAAGAATGAGATATGTTTTATTTTCAATAATTATTCTCATTCGAGGTCATCCATGCTCTCTTCTACATTACTCCGGAATATTTTAAAGGTCAGTGTTTGCGAGATGGTTTTTATGAACAAAAGTTGGCAAGGTAGAGTGTAATACTGCAAGAAATGAGGAACCCCCGCAGATTCTTGTGTACACACAGCAGAAGAGAAAAGTTATATGACATTGATTGATTATCTGAAATGCTTTGTGGTTAGCCGTGCGAAGGATTAGATGCGTTGTCGGTGAGAAATTTGTACAACAAAAATCTTGAGAAATTTGAGTTGACAAAGGATTAGGTTGAAAAAGCGGTTGTCATCTCGAAAAAATCAAATTTTTCAGCGACAAAAATTATCAAAACCGACGCGCACCTCGAAAAATGGCAATTGGAAATATAACAAAGCATGGTGTGCCCACTGTGAATCTTACTGGACAATGAGAATCAAGTCGATGGAGTTGAAATCAAGACGTGGCTGTTGCTGACAAAACTTAAACTAGGAACATTTTGGAAAACACATGTTTCATTATCACACAACTTTCTTTCGTCCCAATTATAAACGATTCTGATTCATGAAAAACGCATTTTCACAAGTTTTTAAAATATTGCGCATTCAAAAATAATCTTCATTTTTTCTAATACAGGTGTCAAAATTCAATCACCCGATTCTTTATTGTCGTTCTGCTATCCCTGATTTTATCCCTGATTTCATTGCAACCAAATTTCCACTAGGGCAGACTTGAAAACCAACAGCTGCCACTTTTTATTTCGACACACTGGATCCCAGGACCGATAACTTTTTTCTGTTGTGTTTCATTGCCGGAACCCTATAAAACTTGTATCGAGAGCATCAACGGGCATTTTTTTGCTTCTTCCTACGAACGACCGAGCGAATCGCAATGCTAAGTAAAAAAATAGCGAAAAAAGATCGGTGCAGTTGAAGTTGGGTTGATGGTGACTTCAAGGTCCGTGCACCTCCCCCCACAACGCCATATGACAGAGCAATGTAGAGCGTCTGCTGTGGCAGTTACGGCCTCTGCCACGCCAGATGCCTACGCCTGTTCTCTGTATGTGTTTCATCTACCTCTGTACTCGTAGGGAGGGACAGAAAGAGATAGAGGTTCTTCTGTTTATTACTTCACACAAGTCGTGTGTTGTTCTCAAGTTTTATGATTTTTCCAGTGCTCCTCAAAAACTTTTGTTGTCTTCAAATTTTATCCATTAGTTTAAACTACTGTGGTTATGAGTAGGCTTTCCTTCAAATAAGATAATCCATTTTTCGATATTTGCAGACATGCACTCACCAGTAAGAATATTATTATGTCTTGCCTTGTTTTTTCTGAAGTCGTCACTATCTGATGAAACACCAGATCAGTTATGCAATAATTTGGATGCTCAGCAAAGTTGTGGACAATGCATCAAAGCTCATGCAGAATGCGCTTGGTGCATTGATCCTGTGAGTTAGTGGTACATGTTCGAAAGAATTTTTTTACTTTCAGCATTCTTCTCTTGTTAATCGGTGTCAATTAAAGTCTAAGTTTACTAACGAAACTTGTACCCCTCATTTGGTTTATTCTCCTCAAACTGCCCAAGTCAAAACCCAACAGGTAGGGAAAAGAACAAAAATTCTATGTTTCTTTAAACTATTTTTTAGAATCTTCCACTTGAAACTAAGCAACACGATGGGAGAACCGTCGTTCGACTACAACCACAAGCCGTTTCAGTTCGACTCATGCCTGGTTTAGAAAATGGATTCGTTCTAGACAATCTCATCTGATTTTGCAGGACACTCATCGACAGTTACCTTCAAGTATCTTCACCAAACTGATGTGAATAGACGAGGTACCGAGCCAGAAACCATGGAGATTCAAACTTCGGATGTCAAAGATTCGCCGATCAACTTGACATTTTATATTGTTTGCGACGGGTTTGTATTTTTTTTGTAGCATGTGAATATAATTGTAACATACCGTTTCAGGGAATTGAAAAAAACCAAATCCTGCCGAGTCCAGAACAATCAGATTGTCGAATTCAAAATTGAGGTTTGTGAATTGAATATATTTCCCCAACTAATTTATATTTTCAAGGTTACCGTCAACTCTTGTTCGAATTCCGGCGATGTTACACTCTCTGTTGGTATTCTTGGACAACGAACAATTGCTGGCATATACGTCACCACCATCTGCGGGTGTGAATGCGAAAAACATCCAGTAAGCTAATATCTTATCTGATATGCGCCACTCTTAGCACCTCGTGTAACTTGATACTTCGTGAAGTTTGAAGTTTTTTGTTCAAAAACTTGGGAAAACTTTTTAAGATCTCAATAATCAGTTTTTATTCCAGGAAATAAACTCTCGGTTATGCCATCAGAATGGTCATTTGGTTTGTGGACAATGTGTATGCGATCCATCCCGCGGTGGAGACAAATGTGAATGTCCGTTGGCAACACTTGGAGTTTCGACTGCTTCAGAATTAGAAGACAAGTGTAAATTGTAAGTTTTTTTTTCTATGTTACACCAGTTTTATCAACTCTTTTTATCATTTTTTCCATTGAAAACAGGTAAAGCAACATTTATGGCTGATGATTTTTAATTCCATACAATACTTTGAAGCTGTAATACCTCTGAGATTCCAATACACAGATTTTGTTTCGCCTGGAATATGGATTCCAAAGAACAAACGAAAACTCCGATCATTATACTTTCTTTCAGTAACTCCTCTACTCCAGTATGCAGTTCTTCTGGAAAATGCAAATGTGGTCAGTGCCAGTGTAATAGACCTACGGTAGGTAGTAAGATAATGTGGGAAACAGTCTTTCATTGTTTTGAAATTCATAATATGACCTTCTTTATCTTCAGGTGACAGGTAAATTCTGTCAGTGCGACAATGACAGCTGTCCGCTGTCTTCCAATGGAAAAGTATGCTCTGGAAACGGAGTTTGCGACTGCGGAACTTGCAAGTATGAAACAATGAACGTTATATAAATGTTACATCAACTTTTCCAGATGTGAAATGGGATGGGAACGCGACGATTGCTCTTGTTCAACGGCATCAAACAACTGCGTGGAGAACGGGGTCAGTGAAATTTCGCAATTTGCAACGTGTCTCATGGAAATAGGTTCTGATAGGGGAATCCTTGGCGGCTAAGCAAGAACTATCATATTTTTGAAAATTCCAAGATCACTATTTTGCTTCTAAGTTTGATTTTGTGAATATAGAAGTTGTTTAAATAGCCTCACAATACTTTATTATATCTTATCTGAATCCATCTGGCAGGAATTGTGTTCCAATAATGGGCGATGTGAATGCAATCGTTGCGTGTGTAATATGGGTAACACTGGGGCCTTCTGTGGATCAATTGAAAAGGTGACTATCTTAGGAAGTAGCATTTTTACGTTCCCATTAACAGTAGAAATTTCTTGTGAATCGTTTAACCAATGATTTTTGTTTCTGTTAACTGTTTCCTCATTGTCGAAAATTATTTTTCCAGGAGCAGAAACCAATGGAGAACAAGCCAACAGATGATCTTCCAGAAACTACAGCAGCTTCTGTAACAGAAACGACTTCAACTGCCGACCTTCCTTCAGACGAAGAGTTGGAAAAGGCATTAGACGATTCCGTCAAGTCGACAGAAGCAACTTCATCGTCTGCCTTGAAAATCTTCTGGCTTTTCTATTTCTTGGTAGTGATACTATTTGCTTACTAGAAACTGAAACTAAAATACACTCGGATATCACAATTTCCTTACTTTGAATTTTTTCTCTTTCTCGTCATTAAAAACTTGGTATCTTTCTTATATGTTAACATGAATTCGTGTTTTATTGATTGTATTTAATTATTTTGGTAGTAAATTGGTTTCATTTTGAGACGGAAAAAAAACAGAAACAAATACATCAATGTACCAGCAATACAAGAAATAACAGAAAGCTTTAAAAGGGCAATTTTGTGACACGATGAGAAGTTTACAGGTCAACGTTTCAAGGATGATGAGACATGAAAAGTTCAAGAAGGGGAGCTTGTGGATGCAGTATTTGGAGGATATATGCAGTAATAAAAAACTATAACCAATAGCGTAAATGAGAAATGCAATATTCTGTCCACAGCAAAAGCCCGACGATATTTCTGGCTTTCCTCGTTTTAATATAATAGACAGCATTTGATAGATACATAATGAAAATTCAGATAAATGATTTCAGTGGTTTAAATAACCTTCGGTTCAGGTTCCCCGTTACAGTATTCGTTTTGCATTTCAAATACACGGATACTCGTCGCCAGCGAAACGTGTTTGCGAAGTGCCAGTGTGCTTCTGATAACGATTGTATCGAACTTGATCAGCAATGGACATTGTGCAGTGGAATGCCACACGACAAACGTAGACAGACACCGATAAAAGAACGAGTGATATGCACCAACCAATAATACACACTTGGAACGTGGCTGAAAAATGTATTCCATTTGACTCTATTGCTCAAAAACTTTCAAAACTCACTGTCAACAAGATCAAACTTGAAATGGGCCGAAACAAGTTGAGCTGCCATTCTAGTGCATTGGAGAAACAGCATGAACAAATCGCTCTCTGGTTTCACAATAGCATAAGTGAATGCAGCCAGCATCAGGGCGCTGACGAATGTCTCGAGGGTCTGAAAATATACACATTAGAACACCTAAAGGTAAATTGAAAACCAACTCTCAAAACCACAAATGGTATGCAAAGAAACGGTTGTTGAGCACCAATTCCAATGTGCATCAGAATGCATGTAAAGACAATTATCGCCATTGCCCCAGACAGATAGATTACAAACTGAAAAACAATATTCGTCAACAGATTTTTGGTTTCGAGAGAAAACTAACCGAATTCCTGACTCCGTTGTAGTACATAACAACATTGAATGCAATGACTATGATGGCAAGAGCGCAGTAAATGAATGAAATGCAGTGTGCCGAAGATGAGTCCTAAAAATTAAAATGTATTCTTATTCAATTGGCTAAATCTATATTCGGTTTATTTAGACTCTTTCTCATACTCGATTCAGAAATGTTTCGATCAGCTAGCTGTTTGAATTATCACTCGAATATGCTCTGACTACAAAATGAAGATCGAACGGTAAAAAGGTATTACGGTTCACTGATTAGTTTTTGAATCTTTGATTGTTGCCGTTACAGGCAGCTGAATTCGGGAAAAAAGTGATTTCCGAATATTATTATTGATACGTAACAACTGTGTTTCTGACGGGTTCTTTGTGGAGTTCTTTCTGAGATGATTAAAAAATTACGAAATCGTTTACTTAAAACAAAAAATCTTTCTATTGGTTACCTTTCCTTTTCCTCGTTGATTATGGGAGACTGTCTTTGTTGGCTCTCTTCGCATAGGCGCAGATGTCCGATTATAATCTTGTGAATTGTCATTTTTTGGTTCGTATCCACCATAATAATCGTCTCTCTGAATAAAAATGATTTAACTTCTCCAAAAGCCCGTAAATCCTACTTGAGTGTAAGTGGAATATGTGTAATAATCAGCAGTTAGGCATGGAGCAGTAGGTCTCGTCATGTCTGAAATAGAAACGTTGGAAAACTTTAAATTCATTTGTTCACTTCAGAGTAATATTTCACTCTATTCAGATTATTATTACTTTTTTCTTTGTAAAAAGTAAAACGATTATAAAAAAGAAGCAAAAAATATATTTGTAAGAAAATGGGAAGCAATGGATTGTAACAATTCGGAGAAACGGATTAACAGAGAGGGAGACAAAACGCGGGGAGGGTTCGCGTGGTCCTGGTCATCTACTCTCCAAGACACGCACACACACATTTACACCCCGTACCCTCCAACGTACGCACCACCCGCCAGTGTGCAGTGTGGGCTGGTGGCCCTTTCCCCGACGTTTTCATGTAACGTGGGACCCTCTCAATGAAATAAAGGGCACTGAAAAAGACGGAGAAGACGAGCAGCGTTGCGCGGGGTTGACCTCTGCTGCGTGTCTTTGAGACGTATTGATTTCTTGGACCAAGAATAGGAAAGAAGGGCGAGTCATCGAAGACAGCCCGGTGCGAGAGAGGACGGGTTAAATTGTGAGGCAGGGTCAAATTGGCAGATACGCAGCAGAGGAGAATGAGTAATCGTAAAAGAAAATCGAATAATTGAGTCAGTTTCAGGATTTTGTTGGCAGGAACAACCGTTCAAGCTGTTCAGCTGAATTGAGTCCCAGAAGATATATTCTGAAAATGAAAATCAAAAAAATTGAGATTAACTTTTTTTTTTAAACTGACACTCTGCAATAATTCTTTGCAAAGTGAGATAAACTTCGGAAAACTTCAAATAAGCGATGAAAACTTTGTTGTCTTCTCTGGATAGTAACGTATACGGTCAAAAACCCTGTGCAATTACATTTTGGAATCTTCAGATCAATTTTAAATTTCAAAGTTTATGTTCAGCATTGTTATCTTATGTTCGTCTTCTCCCAAATATGAATTACAACGTTATGCTGAGAATTAACATGAAAATAACTTCATCAATGGTGCGAATGCCCCTGTAAAGAAAGACCCACCTCCAAAATGTGTCTTGATATTGAAAAATTTCCGTACGTTTTCAGTGAAAAATATTTCAGGAAATCCACAATTCATTAGAAATTTGTTGAAACTCTATTTTTTTGATAAAAAACTTTCTCATTTTGGTGAAATTGCTAGACTTTCATGAATTTTTAACAAAAACTCGTCGAATTTTTCGGTGAAAATTTTCGTGAAAAATGGCCGGAAAAATAGAAGGGCCCACTCTAATTGAATGGCCCCTGTAATAGAAGGGCCCTCCGGAGGTACCTTTGAAAAATAGAAGGGCCGGCCCTTCTAATACAGGTTTTACGGTGTGTTTCATTGTCGTTCTTACAATTGTTAGAAATGAATACATGTGTGAATGTTTTGAATCTAACACGCATTAGCACATTCTTCAAATATAATCCTTAAATTCGGGAAGAAATAATTTATACTTATTTGTGATTACATATGATTTCTTGTGTTTTTGTTAATTGTTAGTTTTTTTTTCATGTGAAATTTCTTGCATATGTTTAGTATAATCTTATTTTTGAGTTTTTGAACGGTATCGTTGCCAATTAATTGGAATAAATCTTCACTTGAAAATAAGAACCGACTATATCACTTTCAACTTTTTTTGCTTAGTTTTGACTTTTTGTCACCGTTGACCAGGATCTCTGTAATGTTTCATAAAATATAACGACTCTAATAAAATTTAAGTGAGTGCGTGCAGCAGAAACGATAAGAAAACTTCACCGCGAGTTGGATTGCTGATATTTCTGTGTGTGGTGCATTGAATCAAACAGCACATTTAATTCTACTTTCAGAACGGTGAGTTTAAGTTGATTTATATTATAATTGTTATCAATAATGTTTTATCCTCAGATGGAACAGGACAAACTTTTGACTCTCGTTTTTACATTTTTGTTGTTGTGTTTGACAGTTATCGACACAGCTTCTGATGCGGCAAACAAAGGAGTTTACAAAGTACGGGTACTTTCTATAACAATTTGTTATGACCATTCCTAGTACTCTCACATCAAAAAACATAAACTGATATGGGCAAAAAACTCAGAGTACCAATCAAATGGTACTTTTAATAAATGTACATTCATTGAACGCGAAAAATAGACATTTTCAGGTATATAGCTCTGGTGTTCCCTGCATAATTGTTCAAGCTGATATATACTTGTACCTTACATATCAAACAAGTGATAGTGAAGTAAGTGTTTTTCCAATTATCGTTTGTTTCAAACTGTATTCAGAAAGATGTGGTTGTCCACGTGCCAACTTCTTCGACTGCGGATACTGCTGTATCCACTTGTGACACATATATAGCTACTGCTGGCATGTCGGTTCCAGCTCAACTTCTACGAATTAATTTGTACCACGTGAGTTTTTTAAATAAGCATGCAGAACTAAGAAAAAACATGCTAACTTTGACTTTCAACTCAAAAAATACGATGGTAGGTTTGGTTTCAAAAGTTGAGGTCACATATTATCAGCTGACTGATCTAAAAAATTTAGAAAATGTGACACGGATTTAGAGTTTCTGTTTTATAGTTTAAAACTCTTTTTGTTAATTACAAAAAAAGTTGCGTGAATGCGCAGAAGTCTAAAAATGTTAAGAAACAACAATTACGTGAATTTGAAATAGGATACTAACATTTTACGTAGTGCGTTTTTATAAATGTCCACTACACAAATGATTTCTAAATACTGTTTGTTTTGATATCATTATTTTAACAATTCCCTGTTCCCTTCAGCGTGACGCATTTAATATCCGCTATCCCAGATGGCCGGATGGACGATTGATCTTGGTTTCACTGAAGACAAAAGATTCAAAACGGAAGGAAAAGAATTCACACTTTTCCAAGTGAACGTAACGGCTAATTTTTCATCAGACCCATCATCATTTCCAAATGCAAAATACCCAACTCAAAGCTACAATCTTCACATTGATCCAAACAATCTCTCCGATTTGAGCGGTTCAATATACGCCGATATTGGGAACTCATACTATTGTCCGAGTGAACAGAAATATGCTATTAACGACGATGTGGCTTAGTAAGTAGTTTTATCGGAAGAGAAACGATCGGAATTGTATTACAGCATAAAGTTTAAATTGACTACTATTCAAGCATACATGAAAAGTGCTTCATTTGGACCAAGTAAGTTTATATTTATAAAATTTGTAAAACGTTTATGAATTCAGAGCAAGTATGTCCGTCAGATGAAAACACTACAGATTTAGTACCAATTATTGTTGGATCTGCACTGGCTGGGTTGATCGTTCTGACGCTCGTGGTTTACTTGGTGATTTTGAAATACAAAAACATTCAAATAGTGATGTCTTGGTTCAAAACTGAAACGCCTTTAAATTTCTTCATTCTAGTTTTATCTCAGATTTTTTTTCCCAGAATAAGTTTAGTAATCATCTAATTGGTTTTAGCTTTCTAATGTATAATGATCAATTCCGTCTATCATTATCGAAATCAGTTCAAAATTCAGATATACCGAACATTTCTGCCGGAAGAAGTTCTAAACTTGGTCAACCCAGATTCCCATTTTGGCAGTGACAGTGGAAACGAACTGAGTAAAGATGACATCCTTGAACGATTTTAGTATTTTTTCAAAACTTCTCGTCTTTCAATAATATAATAATAATAAATATTCTTTCTTGAGTTATTCAACTTTCTTGCCTTTCGTATGCCCATTGATTATGACGTTACGCAGATGTCGTCTCTGCCTGTGTCTGTGTTTGCTGGCGAGTGTCGACGAGTGTGTGCGTGTGCGTGTCTGTGTCAAGGAATGTGTAAATGTGAGCGAGCGGCCGATCGGCGGAGGAACCCACCGATGACGTATTTCTCCCCCGGCCACAAGGTCATTGCAAACGCGCTCTGTCAGCCTGCTAACCTCACCGACCACGGTTAGCACAAATACACATATAACTGTTCATCGCAAACGAATTTCTCGTCTCCCAGAGGGTTGGTTGTGTCCTCCACAGTCTTCCTCCAAATCTTTCAGTGTATTGATTATTCAATACGTCACCATAACCCTCTCTTCTGTTTTCTTTTTCTCCTCTTAGCCGCCCATAAATTTTCCACTAGATGATTTATATATACGTATCTTATTTCATCATTTGTTTATCAGAATCTTATTGACGTCTCGTTTTTCATTCTGCTTTTCTTTTTTGATATTTCTCCAGTCACTATTCATATTTCTTTTTTCCAGAAAATAGCCAGTTATTGAAATGTTGTCGGAAGAAGAGGTTCACTCAAATTCTTATGCTGATCGTACTGGAGCTGTAATCGATCGACAAACTTTTTTTGGCGACGATTGTGACGAGATCAATTTGGGAAACGAAGACACCCCACCGTCAAAACTTCGGCTCAATACTTCGACCGGCACTGAGAATACCTCGCCGGCTGTTATTAACAGTATCGAGGACCACGATCAGTAAGTTCTCATTCTTTTCGCTGCACGTACAGTACTCCGACAAAACTAAAACTCCAACAGTAATGAAAAAATTCTGGCAGATGCTTGCTCAGTCCGCAAGGCTGAACATGCATGATTCGGTAGGCCTGTGGAACTGTTTCAAGCAGACATTTCGTCTGAAAGTATCAGAAAACGTTCCAAAGCATTAATAAAAACCAAACAGTCATTTTTCAGATATCATGACAACCACAACGACCACTATGCTCAAATCTCGCCTGAGCCTGTGCCAATTAAGTTCAATATCATCATTCGTGAATTCGAGAAGCGTGGTGACGGAATGAACGCTTATATCGTTTATAAGCTTCAGACTGAGGTATTTTGAATACATATGCTAGAAATCGCTTTTAAAAAAAAAGTTTCAGGTTAGCGGCGTCGTTGGTTACGCCAAAACTTATTACGAGACGTGGCGTAGATTTTCTGATTTTCTTGGTCTTCATGGAAAAATTGTCGAAAAGTATCTCTCCAAGGGAATCGTCATCCCGCAGCCACCAGAGAAAAGCATATCGGCTCTCACCAAAACAAAGGTGAACTTTGAAAAAAAAAACACTGATCAAAACGTAATTCTTGTTTTCTAGACAAACTCGGACCCGGCCATGAGTCGAGAAGTTGGAATTCAACGTGCACGTCATTTGGAACGCTACGTCAGTCGCTTGGTTCAGCACCCACGCATGCGAAACGACTGTGATCTTCGCGACTTTCTCACAATTGACTCAGATCTTCCAAAAGCAGTGCAAACCGCTGCGTTGTCAAGCTTCGGAGTGAAGAAAATTTTCAAGAACTTCCAAGTTGTCTTCTCCAAGATGGCTTTCCACATGGAGGAAGGAGATCGTTGGTTCGAACAAGTCCAGTCACAAATCGACGAACTCGATGAAGCCCTTCGCAAGTTGTACACTGTGACCGAGTCGTTGGTGGCTTCTCGTAGAGAAATGGCAACAAGTGGAGAGCTGTTAGGGAAAGTGAGTCATACTTTGTGATGTAATCTAAGCTCCAATTTCCAATTGTTTAGGCTCTTTCTATGCTCGCTGCTTGCGAAGAATCGACGTCCCTCTCTCGTGCTCTGTCTGCATTGACTGACGTGACGGAGAGCGTTTCGAATGCATGGGGAAAGCAAGCCGAAATTGACAACGCAAAGTTTTCTGAAGCCATTTACGAGTACATCATGCTCATTTCGGCATTGAAAGACGTTTTTGGAGAGCGTGTTCGCGCGTGGCAACAGTGGCAAGACGCTCAACAGACATTATCTCGTAAACGCGACCAGAAGACCAAAATTGACTTAGCGGCTGGTGGACGCAACGAGAAATCAGACCAGCTAAAAGCGGAAATTGAAGAAACTGTTCTCAGAATTGACCAACTTGAACAACATTTCGGAGAACTCAGCAAGGCTATTCGGGAGGAAGTCGCTCGTTTTGACACTGACCGTAAAACCGACATGAAGAAAATTTTGATCGATTATATGGAGAGTATGATTCATACTCATACTGAGGTAATTAAAACGAGTTTGGCAAGAGGAGTTTCAGTGAAACTATTCACGCAATATGAAATTTCATTCCAAGTTGGTCATTTTGGTCCTTAGAATTATTTTTGGGATTATTTTTGGTCCTTAGTATTAATTTTTGTCCTTAGATTTTTCTTGGCCCTTAGAAATTTTTTCTAGATTTATATCAATTTTCAGCTTTTAATCTTAAAAATGCGGTGTCCGAAGTGTCCACTAATTGTTCCTCAGAAGTTGGTGCCAAAATATGTTCCTTCTATAAACTAACACAAGGTTCATAAATTTCTAGTTTAAAGGTCCCAGGAAATAATAGAGGCCATAAATTTGAAAATCCCATGGACATTGGAATAATGTACCACCGTTGGTACTATGTGGGTAATTTTTTCTCCAGTATCATTGTAGACACATTTTTTGTTGGTTTTCTTGTAAATTCAGTTCATTCTTGTCGTTTTTTTTTTAAATATTTCTGCTTAGTTAAGAACCGAAAACTCTCTAACTTGGGCGCTTTCTCAAATAGAAGTCCACCCTGACTCTCTATGATAGGGTGATTAAAAAATAGAAGCCCATGTGCCTCTATAAGAGAAATTACGGTATTTTATACTTTTAAATAAATTTAGAAGTGCAGTTTCCAAAAAATATATAACTCTGAAAGAGCCATGTTTTTTTTCTGGCCGCACAAAGTTATGAATTTTGAACTAACTTGATCCACTTTTTCAGAAAATTCAGAAAACTTTTTTGCTATTCTGCTCAACATGCGCATGGACACCTTATATTATGAACTTTGTGCTAGTTTATAGAAGGAACATATGTTGGCACCAACTTCTGAGAAAAGTTTAGTGGTCATTTCTTATACCGCATTTTAAAGATTAAAAGCTAAAAATTGATATAAATCTAGAAAAAAATTTCTAAGGACCAAAATAACCGACTAGAGCCGAAATTTCTTCCTAAAAAAGCAAAAATATACAGAGCATTGAATTGTTACAAGGTTCCGGACCAAATCAGTTGAATTTGCTTTAGTCGCGCTATACTCAAAATCAAAGAATCATGATAAAACAAGATTTTTGAAACAAGATTCTTGGGCGCTATATGAGTTGAGGGGTGCCACTCAATTTTTCGATTTTTACGCAATTTTTTCACTTTTTGCGTGAAATTTTTTATTTTTTTAAAGTGTTGAATGGCCGGATTTCTTGTTTACAAATTTTCAGAAAAAAAATATTTTCGGGAAAATTTTATATTTTACGTGAATTTTTTGAAAGGTTTTTTCGATTTTTTTGATACATATTCACCTACAAATCTCCCCCCCTGAAAGTTATATTTGCTATAAGAAGTATTTTCAGTTGCCAAAAAATAGGCTCAGACCTTGAAAAGAAGACCTACAAAACAGGCTTAGAAAAAAAACCCCTAGAAGTCAAATCAGCCCTTTTAAAAATAGGCTAATCTTATTACAGATGCTTCAACTCTGGGAGAAATTTGAGCCACAAGCTCATAACATCCAACTTTGAGTAATCGAATGTAATCGATATTTTCGCTTTGAAAGAACCTCATTATTTTCAACCTTCTCCCCTCCACGATTTGTTAAAATGTCACTTATTTTCTTATTTATTGTAATCATAACATCAATCAAAATCATATGCTTTGATCCCAGTTGCATTAGTGCTTTTTGTGATATAACTGGAATAGAACTTATTTTACGGTCTATTGTAATATTAAAATTTTTATTTCACATTTCTATTGCACAAACTGTATTTGACAATCATTTTGCTTGAAAATAAACAACATTTTTCCGTTTTATTCAAATTGTCTCCGGGAAAGTCAATGCCCAGGCCATGTATTCTGAAAACAATAATTTAAAATACGTTTAAGACGATTTCACTACCTTTAGAAATCCACGGTTCGAGTCCATTTAATCGTGAGTTTCCGTACTGCAAATCGGGACTGTGTGCTACTCTGTCGGAGCCCATTTGCGTTCCAAGAACCTTGAATGATTATTTTATTGTTTTCGAAACCAATGTTTTAAAAAATTATTATACCTGTGGTGTATAAGTGTAAGTTGTGTTGTCAAAGTTGGTTTGGATGACAAAAGTTGAGTATCTAGTGTTGAGATGCCTTGATGTTGCGCCATCAATATTTGGTGATATTCTGAAAACAACGAAATTTTCAGGAATTCAGTATAAAGGCTAATTTACGTTTGCGATCCAGAAATAACAATTATATAATTGGGTCGGTTGCTAGCCACTCCAAATGACTGCTCATTTAGAATTACAGAATCAATTGCTCTTCGTAAATTACTTGAACCAGAATCTGATGTAACAATTTGGAATTTGGAAATTTGATTTTTTAGAGAAATAATGTCCTGCAAATCGCCTAAGTTCCAAGCCGTGTTGACCTAAAATTTTTTAATCTTTCTTGACTAGTCTTCAAAAATTCAAGCTCCGCGTTAGCGTACTCACCGATTTCCCGTATGTGACAAGGGCTAGTTTAGTATCGTTTCCAGATGTTGAAAAGTTTCCAACATTTTCGACAAAACTGTTCAGGAAACTTCGAACATTTGGAGTAAATCCTGACCCCAATGTATTGTCCACCAAAAATATGAAATCAGCTTTCACCGCATCTTTTACAGGAATTGGCTCAGGATAAACAGAAGATTTGTAATCTGAAAACAGTCATCGTGTAACCAAAAACCTTTTCTTTTGAAACCATTATCCAAGAAATGAATCAAGTCCTGAACAGCAGGGGAGTTGATCGAGAGCGAAGATACGTTGTTAACAGTCTCATAGAAACCAGTATTTGTGAAATTTCGAACATAATCAAAACGCATGTTGTTCAATCCAAGAGCAAACACCTGTAAAAATTTATTCATACGGTCTTTCTTAGATGTGGGAATCACCGTCGTCATGTTCTTCACTTGCATCGCTGTGGAAGTGTCTCTTGTGTAGAAGCTATCGGCGTGGGACAGAATAATTGTATACGTCGTTACATCATCTCTCCAACCGTTAGCCTCGGTAAGGAAGAAAAATACTTCTTGTTCAATAGCACCTGCCAAATCGGCGTCAGTTGAGTTTTCCGTGGCTTTGGCCAATGTCAGTTGTTGTATCCTTTGGTTGACCACATTATTGCTGGTTGACTCGAACAAGTGGAATCCGTCCTGAAAAAAATTATAATGGTTGTCTTTGTTTCAAAAAAAACCACAAACGTGAGGAATTGTTCTTCCGTTGTAAGTCTGTAAAGCAAATTGCGTTGAAGTTGGACCAACTGTGAACTGAGAAGTGAAATCTTGCAGGAACTTTTTCATATTAGAGAAGTCAGAATCAGTTAGGCCAGTTTCATCCAGTAACAAAATGATATCAGCAGCAATAGAAGAAGTCGGGAAACTGACGGAATCCTTAGCTTGTTGATCTATAAAAATTATGCGTAACATATCGAAAACTAGAATTGTAACTCACTATCATTTATAGCAGCGGCAAGTTGCAAAATGGGATTTGGAGAAGTAACATCAAATGGAGCAACTCGATCAACAAGGCTGTTACTTGACGAAACGCTTAAATTTATTTTTAAGTTTAAAAGAATGGTAACTTTCTTTCACTTTCTATATAAAAAATCTTACGAGAAAATATTGTTTTGAGAAGTGACCAAATCGTTGTAACTAGAAGCTGTGCTGATATTGTAGTTTGCAGCATACAATTGACAGTTGCTGAGCAGTTGCTTGGAATACGATGTACCGGTGAGACTGAAAAATATCATTTTCATGACAAGTATTTCATGAGAGTTCCTACTTTGACCCTCCAATTACGTAAACAATATAAGTGGGCCGATCTTCAGTGGTTCCAATCATATTAGAAACATATTGAATTGCACTTCCAACATTTGCAGTGTATGACGATGAAGAAAGTGATGATTTCCATGAACTAACGTACTGGTCAAGTTCCTGAACAGAAAAATTTAATCAATAAGGAAGTACAATCCATACAAGAGGTGATGACGTGAGTGACAGTGCAGAAATTACACCATCGGAGAAAGGAACGATGCTGATTTTTGTCCTCAAATATAAAGTTACAATCAATATACTACTATTTTTTGAATTACTTTGTGGTTGCAAGAAGATAGGGTGTCACGGAATCGGACACAAACTGCACGATATTAGTGTGGTCTGTGTATGTGCTGGCTGATTGATCAACAATGTAGACAATGTTGGCGTAGAAATTTGAAGAAGATGGAGATCCTAAAATACTTCTAATGTCTTTTTAAAAAGTGAGTTCTAACTTTTTTTGGTTGTTGTCTGATAAATCCTATCAGCAAGATCATAATTGGTATCGATGCCGGTGTATGAAGAGTTCCAGTTGGAACCATATACGCAGATTGAGCAAATGCAGACAGTTGCGTATTAGACATGCTTGAAGAGAGACCGACTGCAATAGTTCTGATTCCTTTGCGTTGAATGTTGGAAAGCTCTTGAGAAAACGGCGAAGACGATCTGCAAGTAACAGGATTGTAACATGTTGAAAATCAGAAACTCACGATCCAAGCGTGAACACAATCAAAAAGTTTTCATTCAAAGATCTATATCCAGAGGTAGAGTTTTCATAGACATTTTGACGAATGTTCGACAGAGCGCTGAAAATGAGTCGATTCAGTAATACAACTTATGAGCGAAAAAAAAACAAACCTGGCAATATTTCTATACGTCTGATGCGTTTTCGAGAAGAAAGAAAATTGCTCATTTCTACAGGAGCTCAAATCGTAATAATTGTTGATCTGGTAACAAATTATGAATTAAATCAAGTATAAAAATACATACTTGTGCAAAAATGCAAGAGTACTGAACGCTATCTCCATTATAAGTTGCGATCGTAAATCTGGATCCTTTTTCTCCGACCGAGTACTTGCCAAGAAGAATATCGAGGAAGGCACGCAACTTTTCGAACAACAAATCACTCATAGCATTATCAGCACTGATGGAAGTGTCAACAAGAATTGTGATATCAGGCCAGACGTTTCTAGCTTTGACGGTAGGAATCGGTCCAGGTAGAGTAGGGCTTGGCGGTACTGGCGGTGAAGTTGGTGCTAAAAACTATGATTTGTGGCGGAACTAATAATTTCGAAATACGTTGCATTGGAAGATAGGTGCAAGTGTGTTGAGTAAGAGAGTTGGCGAGTTGCCTGTTAGAGTATTTGTTGTTTATGTTTAGCTGAAATTTATATAACTAAATATTACGTTTAAATAAGATTACCTGATTGATATTAATTTGGTAATCTGCTCCTGGAATAGTGTTTGTGTTGATTGTCAAAGCAGATGTGTATCCTCCAACAAGCTGAACCATAGCATCGTGTTCCGAAAACGCGTTTTCCATATCACTGATACTGAAAATACGATACTGAGATAATCATTCTGTTTACATAAGTCTTACTCCATAGTATCGGTTATCAAAATCACGTTCTTACTAGCAAATGCTCTTCCATCTTGGAAAATCTCGATAGCTTTTTTATAGGCTCTGAAAAAAAACAATAGTTTTTGGATCGACTCTCAAACTAACGTGGAAAGTGTTGCAGTTCCTTTAGTTGCTCGGAATGTGATTGATTTTATCAAACTTTGATAATCTGATGGGCTGTACAAATAGTTGAAATCAGCATGCTATAAATTGGCTGTGTTTGAAACTTAAAAAAACTACAACTCACAATCAGAACATCGAGATAGTAATAGGAGGCGATGGCAAAGTTCATTGGTGTTGAAGTGGTGAGGGCTCGAGAGGAAGATGATCCTGTAGCTCCTAACAGATCTGGGACGAGTTGGTTGGCTGTGAAGTTGAGGATAGAATTCCAGTTATTTTTGTCGTCGGCATGAAGAAGGATAAGAGTGTCGATGGGGTCTTCACAAGGTGGGTTCACTGAAAATTGTTTGACAGTTAAGAAACTAGTCAGTCACTCACCAAATTGTGGAATTCCAGGACAATACTGATTATTTATGAAACTGTTGATTTTTGGTAGAATAGCATCTGATATTTGCTTGGCAACAGAGGCTCTATTGTCGGCAGTCTAAATATGAATTTTCAAAGATACTATTTTTAGAGATGACTCACATCCAGTGCTGTAGTTCCAATGATGGAATTCGCGTCTATTGAATTAGAACCAGTCAATGCATCAAGTTGGGGTTTTGAAGAATATGGTCCAATAACTACTCCTTGAACTGTGGCCAAGCTTCTAACAGTGGCAGCGTCGGCAGATGGATCCGGGCAACAGTTCGATAATTTTTCATATGCTCCGCGAGCAAAGAAAACGACCATGTTGTTGTCTTGAGAATATCCATTGCGTAGTGAAGAAGCAGTCAATGAGAAACCACTGAAAAAATTTGCCGATTCGGTTGTTGTTTTAATGGAAAAAGAACTCACAGTTGGAGGTCCGAAGCTGCCCCAAGCGAGAAAACAGTGATGTTGAGTGTATTGATAGCTGACATAGCATTAGTCACTTGATCAAAAAGGCTTGCGCTCTGGCCGGACTGGTTTGGAATCAAATTATCAGGAGCAGAGAAGTAAATCATCGACACAGACATTTTGAAGGGTGAAATCATTGATTGATAATAACTCAAGACATTGAGAACAGCTCTGGTTTGCTGGAAACTTATATGTGGAGATTGGAAGCAAATATAGAACAATTCTCACCACATCGACATAGTTTGAGCCTTCAGCTTGGGAGGTTTCAATCACAAAAGTAAGCCCTACGTAGCAGTTTGAAGAGTCTTTGCATGTGAGCTGATAGTTTGTGCTGTTCGTAACCTTAGGGTCAAGTACATCACTTGGCTGTGCGACGCCAACATAAATGGACTGCGCATTATCATCATAGACTCCGTACTGGATAGTCTTTTGAACGTTGTTTTTGCTTTGCATTGTTTCGATCAAATCTTTAAATTCAAAATTTTCTAAATTCATCAGCAATCTAAAAAAAGACTCATATTCCACAACATACCGACTCCGATGATTTGAGTTTGCATCTGAGATCGAATATTCAGAGTGGTGTTGTAAACGTTCGGAATCACTCCTTTATAGTCATTTCTGAAATTACATAATTTTTTTTCTAAAAATGAAGCAGAACAAACCCATCAGTAATGTAATAGAGCAATGAAGTCACCGAGTCATCATTATATTGAGATTTGGTTTGAATGAAGTTTAACGCTTCATTAAAACCGCTAAAAGAGCTGTTGCTTATGTGAAAACGTGTCTAGGCTACTTACACAGTCACGTCAGAAGTTCCAACACTTTGTGGAACGTTGCTTAGCAAACTGACAAACGTTGCAAGATTGTCGTATTGACTCTTAAAATAATAATAACAAATCACACGCATGATTGAATCATTAGTTACCGATTCGGATACAACAAAGCCATTGAACACAACAAAGGCAAACGTTGTTTGGGGGTTGTAACTGGAGAGTGCATTAGCGGTATTCTTTGCAAATTGGATTGCATTCTAAAAGAAATCAATGGGAAGCATTATATATTCTTCCACTAACGCTGTATCCGCCATCCAACAATAATGTTTGAGATTGGTCGATCAAAAAAAGCACGTTCTGTTTGCACTGGGCGATGGGCGGCAACAAGGGGTTAACAGTAGTTCTTGCATTCGGAATCGTGGTTGTTCCTTGAGTTGTTATCAGTGGCAGTCTTGTGGGCGGAGGTGTTGGTGGAGCTGCAGTTGGATAATAAGCACTACATATCCATTGGGCTTGTGTTTGCAATACAGCTGTGTTCATCAAATAGTCCACACTGTCAATTGGATAAAAATATGCATAATCCGAAGCTAGTTGTTGAACAATTCCTTGTTGCGCTTGGGACGTCGACATTAGAATAACTCCTAGAGAGTAGAAATACTGTGATTTCAGAGCATTTGCTATTGTAGTAGATGATTGTGCCTCATCGAAATCGCTGCAAAGTCATAAACTGATTGCGAATGAGGCTAAATAAAGCTTACAAGCCATCTGCAACAACGATAATGTTTCCTGCAACTCCTGGAAGTGTGCGGTAGTTGTTGTACACAAACCGTAGAGCACTGAAATCTTCAATAGCAATCGGATTTTGAGATTTACTTACTCAGTCAGTTGGTGGCCATCTGCGTTGACTGGATTGACCACAGTAGAGTTAAGATTAGCGACAACGCTGTTCCATGAGTTTTGACTGCGCGCACGACCCAGCGGAATTCTGTAAAATTCATTTGTTTATTTTTTTTTACATAATCGTATTTCAAAGTGCTTCAATAGAATCCAACTCACGGTTCGTTGGCTCCATAAACAACAAGACGAAACTCCTGGTTATTCCATCGGTTTGTTTGATCTAAATTCACCAGCGATGCGGCATTGTTAAGATAAGCAGAGATTTTGCTGAGCTTATCGTCCAATGTTCCAATAATGGGTACTGAAACGTCGACCAAGAAAATGTTGGTTAAAGCAATATTCGAAGCATCGCATACTGCACCCATGATCATTGGTTGTGTTGTTACGAGTGGGCCATTTGATGGGTTTAAAGTAGGGTTGGTTGTAACACCTTGTAATGGTGAGGCTAGTCCGGAGCATTGAGAAGTAGATGATACTAAATTGTTTTGAATAAAATATGATAAGATAGGTTTGAACGAACTAAAAGCATTCGTCATATAACCCAATGAAGATAAAGCGTTGGTGACAGATGTTGTGGTTGCAGTGGTATCAGGGTAAATCAATTCAGCATAGAAGTCAACACCATTATTGTCTTGTCTGAAATTTTTAAAAATCTGAAACGGAGACATTCATCCAAAAACGATCTCATCTAAAAGATTCACTGTATCTACTAACTCTACTAATTTTCCGAGAACAGAGGATAGCTCTTCGCAGTCATTTTCTGAATTTCGCTCTTGATCCCTATTTCTGTTGCAGTTTAGAAAATTCACTCACTTAAATGCATTGATTTGCGTGGAAAGAGGTGCTGTTCCAAATTTGTTTTGAGAATAAGCACTAGTAATCTAGAAAGCATGTGTTTGATTTTCGAAAGTGTTTTTCAGAATTTACATTGTTGGAAATCGAAGTGGCCAAAGTCTTAAAACTGTTGGAATTAGGATTTGTGTAGTCAGTGCTCCATGCAATCCCGCTGACAAACGATGTTGCAAAAATCACTACTGGTTGGATGGTTGGGGCAGCTGTAGTCGTTGGCATTTCATAATATGGGGCTGAAAACTCTTCTCAGTAATGCCTTTAGGTTTTTTTGTCTGCTTACGCATTGGTGGTTCACTCGCAATTGCAATAGCTAGCATTACAGATCCAGCTATTAGCATTGCCAAAGAAACTAAGAAAAATCCTATGTTGACCCATTCTCGAAGTTTTAACTTTTTGAAAAAATCTGAAAAAAACAAATCAATCCCGAATATATCTTTTGTCGAACATACCTAAACATCCCATTGTCTATTGAAGTGAACTATTTTTGACTACTGCAATTATTTGAAAAACAACTGAAAAATATGGAAATTTAGCTCGGAAAATAAAAAACTAAACACGAAATCAGTCTGTCACTTTTACGTGCTTTTTCATCCCACTTCTTATCTTGCTGTGTCAGTGGCACGGTATCAAAGTGAATTAGTGTTGATAAATGTGTACCGTTGCATCATATTATCACGATAAGAACTCAAAATATTCCGAATAAGCCAGCAAAGTTTGCTGAATCATTTTGAATTAGATGATGAAATTTATGACCGGCACCCGTACACTATGTGCTTTTTGTGCTGAGTTAAACTGTTTTCCATAACGTACAATATGCTGTGAACAAGGCTAATTTTATATAAACTGGGATATTAATTAACATCTTCAATCAGTATATCATGGAGTGAATAAACCAGCACCTGAAAACCTCAGAAGGCGATTGTAGGGATTTACGAGGCTCCGCTCATAAAACGGAACGAGTTGTCTAGAACGGAAATGATTCAAACATTGAAACTATTGCACTATATTTGAGCTGTCGCATTTTGAAAAATTATCTCACTCCGTATTTAGCATTTTGATACTTTTGATAATTTGCATTTTGATGTGTTGTTTCTTCATGAATTTAGAGTTTTGGTTGGTTTATGTAGTGGAAGAGGTGAAAGTTTTCATGAAAACTCAAACCATGTAAATGCCAAAATTGTGAAAAAAAATATGTTTGATTTTTCTGTCAATGATGAATAAAAAAAAAATTAAAATTCGAAGTTATAGAATTATTATTTGTTCAAACTTCCTGACGTGTACATGCCAAACTAATTTCTATTTGAGGTTATGTGGAGTGTACGTTACGTTTTTCAGTTGTCCAGTTTTCAGGAATCATTCAGGCATAATTTCCGATTTAAAATGTCAAAAGTGTCGAAGTGTTGGAATTTAGGCATCCGTACTTCCGGTCTCTTGAGCATGGATTTCTTCCAATTCTGATGTTTACGAATTCAACAAATGTTTGCTTTCTTTCTTTGAAATAAGTTGCGAGATGTACAATGGTTCATGTGGATTCCAATTTCCCACCGTCGTCTGACCCAGGAAATTTGACAGCGTCTTCTTCTTCTTTTCTCAAAATGGGTAAGTGACATTTAAAAGTAACACACACTTTTTGTGCGTTTTTTTTCGAATTTCTGTGGGGTATTAATTGAAAAAAAAAGTATTTTTTACTACTTTTACTTTTGAACTGGCTTCACAAGTTCGAAAACAGCTCAGTACTTAACAACTGGTTTTTATTTTTAAGATTGTTAGATATCGAAAACATATATTTGTATTTCTGAGAACAGAAGTACCTCTTTTAAAACTTGGATAGAAAAAAAATTAAAAGTGGGAAATAGGTAGAGTGTATAAATTAGTTGAAAAAAGCTTGCGGCATATTCTGTCAGTTATTCGTCCGTTTCGTGTGATGAGATATGAGTGATATGAGCAACACAAGATAAACGTTTTGTCGCAAAGTTGTCAACCACCAGATTTCGGCGGAGAGCACGAATTTCCCAATCACTTGATGTTTCTTTCTGTCCTATACTCCCTGGATAATTGATATATATATATATATATATATATATATATATATATATATATATATATATAATTTTTTCTTCAAATTTTCATGAATTACTGAACTTTCATTCATTGCATTCTGAACTATGCTTTCAAACAAACAGAGTAGGTTTCAAACTGGCAATGTATGAATTCCATCTCGAAATGAATCACATTTTGTTCTAGAAACTGTTTCATTTTTTCAGCTGTTCAAAAAGTATTTTTTTTAGTTCTAGAAAAAACTTAAATTGCAGATTTATTTTTTAACAGCAAACCATGTCTGAACGATTAAAAAAAAACGATGGTCATGGGAAACTTAAAATAATATGTTAATTAAGATGTGACACTTAAGGACACCACCTGTCCAGTCGCTCATCTTCACGTTAACACATCTTTGTATGTCCATATATTTGTTACTCACAGAACAGCTCTGGGAATTTGATAGTTTTAGAGCCACAGCAAACATAGTGACATCCGGGAAGATCGGGACACACCTAATTTCTGTTAATGCTCCTCTCCTCGGTCTTTTTCTAAATCATTTGCATTTGAATTCTCTCCCCACTAATTTTCTCTTTGTAATCCTATCAATTAACAAAACAAATAAACAGTTTTTCTCAAAAAACTGATTAGGTTCTACACATAAGTTTTCAAGCTGCTTGGACTTCTACTGCTTAGAATGTTTTTTTCATAAAAGCGTTTCAAACAAAAGGTCACCGGGGAGCAGGGATGCCCTAGGTGAAAAAAGAAGAGTTATGACAAATTTCATTTGTTTGCAATATTTAGATACATCCCTTGGGGTGAATGCATCAAGGAAACACACATGCCTTATATTGTTCGAGCAATGACCTCTCTCTGTGCGTTTAGGAACAAGGGAAAAACGAGGAATAGGAGCAAGGGAAGAAGAGTCGAAGGCTCGCTTCTTTGTACATCAGTCCTTTCGTTTCCCATCGCATTTCAATTCTTGTATTTGTTCTCTCGAAATAGGTGTTGAAATTGTTGCCTCTTGGGAGACGAATTTTATTTTTCTTTTACTCCGTTACTCTTTGTCGTATTGGACGCTTCCAATTTCCTGAGTGGAATTGAAGGTCCATTCTTGTTTTATTGGGAACCAATGTTTTTCTCAATTCGCGAAAGTGGATTTGTCAGATATATAAACTGGTTCATTCACTTTCAGCACAAACCTTTGATCAGTTTTTCTCAGATTACGAAAAAAAAGCTCTAGCTTATTTTAGAACAGTAACTAACATAAAAAAATCTTAACGTGTTTGAGCATTTGGTGAATTAATCTTTTCTCGTTGTATGCAGCGTATCAAGTAGTAAAATTCATTAAAAAAATATACTCACACCTATAAATTTTGGCTCTTTCCGGGAAGAACGGTCCCAAAACGGGACCGCCGGTTCCATCATCGGACCACCGGTCCCAAGAATTGTGACAACGGNCCCATTGTTTCGACAACGGTCCCAATGTCCCGATAACGGTCTAATTATGTTTCCATAGGGTTTCCTAGTTTAAGCCTGGTTGGGACCGTTGTCGAAACAAAGGGACCGTTGTCTCAATTGATTGAGACCGGCGGTCCGATGATGGGACCGACGGTCTTTCTTTGGGACTGTTCTTCCCGGAAAGAACCTAAATTTTTTGTGCTCCAGTAGTCGAAAATTTTTGTAACTTTTTTTGTGAACTCAAATAGGAAAAGAGAAATAAAATGGGGTATCCTCCGTATTTTTCCTAATACCCAGTGGACTTTTAGTTTTCAAATTCCTTTCCAAGCTGGGCTTCTTTTTTACAGTATTTTCATTTCAGATCTTGACTTGAGAGGAAAATAGGAAAATGACAAGAATTAACAGAAAATATCTGAAAATATAAAAAGTCAGAGATAATAGTGAAGACAAACGGTACAGCCAGCTTGATGAGAAAATGTTTGCCCAATGATTTCTAATTTCATTTTTTTTTCAACCTAGATAGTTTTAAGGATAAACGTGGGAAATCAACATGTAATTTTCAAAGTGAATTTCTTGAGTGTTCTTCTATTTTTTGTTTATTTTCGCATACTGAATAAAAAGTGTATGGTGCGATTTTGCGTCTAGGATGAGATTTCCCCTTATTACACCGAACCGTTCGCAATGTTTTGTATTTTTCCAATATTTTTACGAAAAAGTTTTTAAAATTTTTGAAATTTCGCGCCAATCAGAAACTTAGGCCACGGTGCTGGGCCACCTTTTTCATATGGAAATTTTTTTCGGTTGTTTCCAATTTCAGCTCTGTCATTAAAAAAACCACTGTTTATCACTTAAACGAAAGACTGCCATGCGCTGGCCTAGGTTTCTCACTGCGCGGGAATGCTTACTCTCGTCCCTTTTCGCAGCCTTTTTTGATAATTTTTGCCTTCACCGTCGTTCTTCGGTGATTTCGGATTGTTTCTAATATTTAGAAAGTACAAAATATTGGAAACATTTTGGTGTAATTAAACTATTTGAAGGAGCCCATTTCAAATTTTTTTTGGCAAACTGACGCTTTTTTTTACCAAAATCAGTTATTTTTCCATTTTTTTTTCTATCAACAAATATGATTTATTCCTGAATCATAAAAAGAGTGTGGTTTCTTTCAAAGTTCCGTTTGAGAAAAAATCCTTATGAATCAATCTTCTCAAGTCTAGAAAATAGTTTGCCCACACTCACATTCACATGTCCATGTCAATGTCGCTGTTTGATGAGTTTGTGGAAGCCAATTCAATTTAGTCGAATCTCCACCGACAATCTTTCTGATTTTGGAAACGTGTCCGTTTTTGAGTTCTCTTCTCTCTTTTGAAACATGCATTGGACCTTTGTATTCATGTTCTGAAAGAAAAAAAAACTAACATGGAATGACTCCCAAGTGTTACCCTCGAAAAAAATCGAGACCTATATGGTTGGATAGAGCGTAAAAAGTTCATTTAGATTCCAACCGGAATAGTTGGTAAAAATTTTTTTTGGGAGTTATGGTCCAAAAAGTACCAAAAAATGCCAAAATTTTCGAAAAATCATAACTTTGTCAGTTTATGTCCGTTTGTTGAAATTTAAAAAACAGTAGATAGACAATTAATTGGACATTTTAGAACTAAAATTTTAATTTTTTTTCTATCGATTGGATTATTGATTTTTTGAAAAAATCAAAAAAATTTTCAATATCTCAAAAATCCTAGGTTAACTTTTTTTTTCATTATGACCATCAAATTCAGAACATTTGATTTACTATAGAAACATATCAATACCCCGGGTATGATGAGGGGCATACTTGTTTTTGTAATTTTTATTTGCGTATCGTTAGCTTAGAGTGTTAAAAAATATAATCCTGCGACATACAAAGTCAATTTTTCAAATGCCGTACCATTTCTTAAAATCATCACCTTGAAAAAAGCAAAATTTTGACATGTGACAGGGCACATCTATAGTTAAACTTGATAGAAACTGCCAAACTATTTTTTTAAACATATTCAGAAGAACGTAATCTTATCAACGGCTTGAACAGAATTTTGATTTAGGCCCTAGAAACAAAAATATTTACGGTTTTCCGAGCCTGACACTTAAATCGAATGGCGTTAACAGTTTTTCGATATATTTTTTTTCGTTCTCAAGTTATGATCAAAAACAAAAGGTGTCCCATCATCAGTGAATATTTTTATTTTTAGGACTTAATTAAAAATTCTGTTTAAGCCGTTGATAAGATTTTGTCATTTTAATCATGTTTAAACTAAAGTTTAGCTGTTTCCATCAAGTTTATCTATAGATGTGCCCTGTCACATTCACACTTCACCAAAAATAGGGGTCAGGCTCGGAAAACCGTAAATATTTTTGATTCTAGGGCCTAAATCAAAATTCTGTTCAAGCCGTTGATAAGATTATGTTCTTCTTAATGTTAAAAAATAAGTTTGGCCGTTTCTATCAAGTTTAACTATAGATGTGCTTTGTCACATGTCAAAATTTTGCTTTTTTCAAGAAGATGATTTTAAGAAATGGGACGGCATTTGAAAAATTGACTTCGTATGTCGCAGGATTATATTTCAAACACTCTAGGCTAACGATAAGCAAGTAAAAATTACAAAAACAAGTATGCCCCTCATCATACCGGTCGCCGAGGACAACGAATTCAAAGAAGCCAAGTACCAAAAATCGATATTTTTCGGCATAACTTGTGTGAGCATGATTTCCCCCGGGGTATTGATATGTTTCTATAGTAAGTCAAATGTGCTGAATTTGATGGTCATAATGAAAAAAAAAGTTAACCTAGGATTTTTGAGATATTGAAAATTTTTTTGATTTTTTCAAAAAATCAATAATCCAATCGATAGGAAAAAAATTAAAATTTTAGTTCTAAAATGTCCAATTAATTGTCTATCTACTGTTTTTTAAATTTCAACAAACGGACATAAACTGACAATGTTATGATTTTTTGAAAATATAGGCATTTTTTGGTACTTTTTGGACCATAACTCCCAAAAAAAATTTTTACCAACTATTCCGTTTAGAATCTAAAATAACTTTTTATGCTCTATCCAACCATATAGGTCTCGATTTTTTTCGAGGGTAACACTTGGGAGTCATTCCATGTAAGCTTTAGAAAACAAGTTTCTTAAATCTAATATTTTACATTTTTAAAACATTTGAATTACCATAAACAGTTTTGAAAATCCAATCGGCGTTGTGAATAAAATTTTTCAAAACAAAAGACATGTGCTTGCGACCAGCTTTGTGTGGGGACAAATTGGTTTGGAAACATGACTGATTCCCTTAGGATAAATTTACAAACGGCCTGAGTCACTTCTAGCGTACCCGCCAAGAAAGTCGCCAAAAAAGTTTTGACTCCCGTTTTAATTTTTCTAACTTCACCCATTTGGGCTTCCTATTTTTTTTTCAAAAATGTTGGAAGCAATGACATCTAGTCAGTTTGCTAATAACAGTTTTTCGGAAATAATAATGAAAAATTCAGAGCTTGGTGCCGGTGGCGGTGTGGCAAGCGGCGTGGCGTGTATTGTGACACCAACACTTGCTCCGACTACCGTCAAAATGCAGGAAGCGGCTAGAAGAGCATCGTTGAGGAAAGAACACACACCTACGAACGAAAAATTTGGAGATTTGTCGAAACAGGTGAGCCAGTAATTTTGAAAAATCAAAGTTGTATACATTTGATTTTTTGTTGCTTTTCATCGGAGAGAAAAGTCTCGAATATTTTAAACAAAAAAATCATTTGGAAAAAACAAGTCTGATCGAGTAACGGCTTCTCAAAATCACGGACTTGTTTTAGCAAAAACCTGAGATATTGTTTGACATCATCATACCAAAATAAATCTCTGAAATTAAGAAATAACGATTGAACGAATCAGTCTTGAAATCGGAATGTTCCGATATTGTAATAATTATTTTCAGGATTCTCTTGGAGAGCGCGCATCGTCAAAATTAACTTTGGACGATGAGCTTTATGACATCCTTTATGCTTTTGGGTGAGTCTGATACCATTGCGAAATTTTTAATCCTGGAATTATTAATTTATTGTTTCAATCAAATTTTTTTTCAAATATCTAAAATGTTCTGTTCTGTTTGCAAAGATGGAATAGTCAGAACTGTTGCTGTTGTTGTAAAAGAATTACGAAAAAACGTCTTTCAACCCAGCTTTTTCACAAAGCGGTTTTCCCTAGAGGGAAAATTTGACCCACAAAACAAGAATAATTCTATCTTCTAGAACACTTTTCTCATGTTACAATTTCCTCAAAAAAGTAAACGCTTGTATATTCTACAATTTCTCTGATTTAAAAAAAATGTTAGGAAGGGAGAATTTTCGTCGCATCACACCATTTAAACATACAACTACTGTTCCCATTCGCCTCAAAATACGCTATCTGAGAGTACCCGCCGGGAGTCCATCCATTTCTCAGACACGCTTATTCTTTCCCAAGAACTCGTGGGTTTCCCATTCATTTCTTCAGGCGGGAGACATTTATTATTGAGTTGTCAGTGGTGTATGAGCGGCTGGGAGAAAAAGAAGAAAAACGGGAGAAGATAGCAAGAGATCATCAGTGTCGTAGACAAAACGCACTTGTAATTTTCAATTTCCAAATCTTTCTGACTTTCGAATCATAAATGCAGCCAACAATGTTATAACTAGATATTTTCCAATTCGCGATGAACGGAATTGAAATTCTTCCCGAAGGACTTCGAAATAATCCTCTAGTTCAAAGGCGAGCATCTGTTTTTCACGACTTGATAACTGTATTTCGGAAAAATACAACTCAACGATTCGTTCAAAATACTCTAGACCCATTCTCCCCTATTATTCCATGGACTGCAAACTACCAACCGTAAGTTGTGTTGTTACAATGTTTCATTTTGTTGAGATAGTTTTTGAAATGATATCGTGTTTCCTAATAGAGAAATAACACTCTGATTTTTCAATAAGCTTCAGTCGTGTATTGTTCCGACGTTTTCTTTTGTAGCTCCGGATCAACAAACTTTTTCCGCAATCCGAATCAATAAGTAGTAAATCTTCTGGCTTTCTATCATTACACTACGTAATGTTGCATCACATTAAAACGCCTCATGGGCTTTTTTTACGTACGGCACTCTTCAACTCATAAAACGTCAAAAATATGTAGAAAAAATAAAAGCCAAGCTCTCCCAGTTCAGCTTTTTCTTAAAAAGAGAAAGATAATTTCAAAAAATTTGAAATTTGAGAATGTATGAGATAGGTTCATTAGTATGAAAACACTCAAAAAAGGACAGTTTCCGTCGAATAATTTCATAATAACTCCATAATAATTTACAGAGAAACTGATGCATTTATCAACAAAGGCGAGAAACAAAGAGAAACCGATGAAGATGGAAATCCGCTCACAAGACAGGTTCTTACGAATTTCGGTTCAATTAAAATATATATACTTATTTCCAGGCCCTTCTGGAAAGGATACGTCAGAAAAAGGAAGTAATTGGAAAGTTGAGGTGCCAGGCATGGAGTATGACCAGAAAACGAAGGACGTTAAAGTACGTTTCCAATTTCTATTTTTTGAGCTTTGGACACATTTTTTAATGAAATATACTCATTGAAATAATTCAGGCTTGCTCAAAAATATCTTGAACAGCACGAATCGAAGTATCACGAAGCCATCTATACATGGAGGAAATGAGAAAGAGGGCGAGGTTGATGAAACGGAGTTTTTCCAACTTCAAAACTTATTTGATACCATGGGAGTCAAAAATCAAGAGAATAGAAAGTAAGGAGCTAGCCATCAAGTGTGTTATTATATTTTCGTGTTTTAGGTCATTTTGGATCTGTCGTTTCTTCTTACTTCACATTCTTGCGTTGGATCGTTTTTGTCAACATAATGATCACTTTGATAGCTGTTGCATTTGTTGTTCTTCCTGAGGTCTAGTCTTTTTTTGCAAAATTTGCTTTAACGAAATAATCAAAAACATTTCACGATGATATCACCATTTCAGACTCTCGCCGACTCTGTTGGCAATGAGGGACGGAACAATCGAACCAAAACGCGAAAACAGATCCCAGCAAATGAAAAGGTTCATGCCGACGAGTTAGCCGTTGTTTGGCATTATGATGTAATGAGTTTTAGTATTGAAAACGAGTCTATTGTGATTTTTTATTCAGGGATATCTGCGCTATTCGCCATTGTTTTATGGATACTACTCGGACGACCCATTTCTAGGAAACAAGATAAAATATGCACTTCCGCTTGCCTACTTTATGGTCACACTCACAATATTTGCTTACAGTTTTTTTGCGATTTTACGGAAGTGAGTTTTTTCGCAAGTTCACAAAAACTGTTCAAAATCTTAGAATGGCTGCTAATGCAAGAATGTCCAAGTTGTCTGGAAGCAAAGCCGAACAGTACATTTTTAACTGGAAATTGTTCACCGGATGGGATTATACAATTGGAAACTCTGAAACAGCGAGTAACACTGTCATGGCAGTTGTGATAAAACTCAGGGTTTGATCAATTTTCGTTTTGTTCTTCACGTCAATAAATTTCAGGAGTCCATTGCTGACATCAAAAAAGACTCCCATGGTAAATTTCGACTTCTTCAATTTACACTAAGGTAGGAAAAAATAAATTAACGAAATTCCCAATTTAAAACATTTTTAAAGAGTTTTTGCAAACGTTGTAATATGTGCTATGCTTGGATTCTCAATTTATTGCATCATATTCGCCGTTCAAAAGTCGCAAGTGCAGGATGATGGGAACTTATTTACAAAAAATCAAGTTCCATCTGTTGTCTCGACAATTACGCACGTGTTTCCCATGATTTTTGATTTGATTGGGCGAATGGAAAACTATCATCCAAGAACTGCGCTGCGAGCACATCTGGGAAGGTATGAATTGGAACAAGAAACAATTTATTATAAAAAATGCGTTACAGAGTTTTGATCCTTTATACTGTCAACTACATTACTCTCATTTTTGCTCTGTTTGAAAAAATGACAGCTCTACGAGACCGTGTGAACTCAACGTCAACTGTTAAACATCATGTTAAACGACAGCAAGGAGGTTGGAATCCGGTAAGTTTTTTTGTATTGTTTTTCACAAATGATTACACTTTAATAATCGAAAAACACTGTTTTGGTATACTTCAATTTTATGTGATGTTTAGAATATTCAACGGCCGCCGCCTTATGCCAGTCGTGCTGAAATTCGCCAAATGAGCGAGTTTTTAGCTGCAAACACCCGCAGATTTCAAACAGTCAGCCAACGAACTACAAGATCGGTCACAACTCCATTCACAGTAAGACCTTCATGAAGTGTATGTGCATTTTGTCTAATTTCCAATAATTACAGGTTGCTCCTCAATATGGCCCATTCAATGTTAACAATCCAAACGCAGTATTCCACAATGGAACTCATTCAACCAGTTTTGAATCACAAGTTCTTGGCCCCAAAGTGCTTCCGATATTTACACCTCCACCAAGGAAGTATCAAAATTATAGTCCGGGAAAGGTGGGACAGGTAACGACTTTTTCTTTCCAAAAATTCAAATGTAATTTCTTAGTTTCAGCAATTTGGAGGTCCCGATTTTCCAAAACACCAAACATATTCCAAGTCAACTCCTTTACCACGAGTCCGAACCAAACCACCATGGATGTTTACAACTACCATCATTCCAACAGTTCAAAAGAAGCCTGGAAGTATTTCTACACCTTCTGCAGGACACGACACTGTGGAGCTCGACGAATCAAAAGAAATCGCTGCAAAAGATGGATCAGGGAACGGTGAGCCTTATTCATAACGTTGCAGAGAGAATCTGCAAATAGTATAGTTAACAGATTGCGATTTCAGGAGGATTATTTTTCCAATTATAACTACAAAAATTAAAATTCCTTGTTTTTCAGAACAAACGATTCATACTAATGAAGCTGCTCTCCGACGTAACCAAGACGGCCATAACAACGATATTTGTTGGGAGACTATCATCGGTCAAGAAATTGTGAAATTGGTCACAATGGATTTGATATTCACAATCCTTTCAATCCTTGTGATTGATTTTCTTCGTGGGTTGTGGATCAAATACTGTTCTTCTTGGTGGTGTTGGGACATTGAAACAACGTTCCCGGAATATGGAGAGTTCAAAGTAGCTGAAAATGTGCTGCACATCATCAACAATCAAGGAATGATATGGTTGGGATTGTTTTTCGCACCTCTGCTTCCTGCTATTAACAATATTAAACTGATTATTCTGATGTACATTCGTGGATGGGCTGTGATGACGTGCAACGTTCCAGCAAGGGAAATTTTCAGAGCAAGTCGGTACGTAATTTTTTTTTCTCAAGCTTACGTTACGCAGTTCAGGTTTGCTCCTGTCACTGAACCTAGAAAAATTGCATGATGATGATAAATTCAATGATTACAGATCAAGCAACTTCTATCTTGGAATACTTCTCATTTGGCTTCTCCTCTGTACTCTACCTGTTGGCTTTGTTATTGCATCTATGAGTCCGTCAAGATCATGCGGACCTTTTGCGTGAGCTTTTTTCTGAAAATTTAACTACCATAACATTTTTTAAGACGGTACGAGCATTTCTACACAGTGGTTACCAGAGAAATTGAGAAACGAGTGGACCAAACAGTTTTATCTTATATTCGTCATATTGCATCCCCCGGCGTTGTGATTCCAATCATCTTGTTTCTGATGCAAGTTGTTGAATTAATTTTAGTAACAACTGTTGATTTTCCAGACTCATTATTTATTTCCTGTTTTCCCTGGTTCGTGGGTTGAGGGAAGCCAACACCGATTTGCAAGCTCAGCTTGTACACGTAAGGCTGATCATTGAATTCTTTTTTTATCGGAAAATGTTTTAGGAGAGGACAGAAGAGAAGAAGAAAATCTTTGAGTTGGCTGGTGGTAAGAAAAACAAGTTTGAGAAGGATAGAGACAAGAAACGATCCAACGACTACATTCCTCTGATTGAACAACGACGACGTGAGCCATGGAGGCAATATCATGAAGTATACTTTACCTACATAGATGCATATGCAACAAAAGCTTAATTTTCCAGCAGGAAGCTGACAACGGCTTAGCATCGGATTCCTCCGAAGAGAGTGACATTGGCGAGGAAGAAGAGGAGGAACGACAGCCAATCGCAGCTTATGCATTACGTTCTTCTGAAACTCCTCCAGAAACTCTTCAAGTCACCGCTTTCCATCCTTCTCTAGGGTTTGGATTGATTTTGTATTTTTAGCTGAAATCCCAAGTTTACAGTTCGCTTATTGAAAACCGGGAGATGGAAGATGAAGAAAGTAGCAGCGGAGAGCCACTTCCAATGATACACAAATCAGTTTCATTCCAAGGTAAGATTGATTCAAATTACTCGAAAGCATTGCAGATATTTAGGACCATCGAACATGCAAATGCGACAAAGCATTTCCACAGAAAGTTGTAGCCAAATTTCAAGAAGTGCAATTCAAGTGGCAACTCCTGAGGAAATACGGTGAGTGTATGTAAACAATATAGATGAAAATTTGATGTGTCTTGAAACTGAAATACTGAATATTTTATAAGTTAATAGCATTGAGTGTTATAATGTGCATGGCTGTGTGAGTTTTTTTGTTTTACAGAGCCCTACTGCGGCCTTATCTCGAAGCAAAATATGGTGTGCCGCATCAGCATGGAATGAAATCTTTCCCTATTGATGTTCATACTCCACCAAACAACACACCATCCAGGCGATCGTCAAAGTACAACTCGTTTGTATCTCTATACGAGCACACTAGAGATGATCACAAGTTGGTTCAGTTTTCATTTATATAATTTTGAATGCTTTTGATGATGAGAATGATTTAATTATTGCAATTCGCACTGCCTGTTTTCTCAGTGATTGAGACTAACGGTTAGGTAATTTCTGTGATTTCAGAAATTTTGTCGCATCTACAATCAAAGAAACAGATTTGGAGGAAGAACCAACACCTGATGATAAAAAACTGTCGTTTTCTAAAGATGTAGCGCCAGAGTTTATGCCGTGGCCGTCAGCCGATGAGGTTAGTCATCAACATTGTTTTTCAAGAAAATGATGAGAAAATGGGAACCCGGGGACTTTAAAATATGCAAATATTTACAAATTATAATTACAGGCAAAGGCACTCCGTGAAAAAATGAGGCTCAAAGCACCTCTTATGTTAACAAGAGCATCTGTGGAGGAGACACCAAAAGGTGCAAAAAGTGAATCTGATTTCCGACCACCTGTTCCAATACACAGAAAGTATAATATCCAGGTAAAAGAACTGAAAATTTGTTTCTGAATGTGAGTCAAAATTCATTTCTAGGCTACTGGAGAAGAAGACAATAAAGAGGAGACAGAATTGCCGGAGTCTTCGAAGAAAAGATTCAGAATATCCGTCTCACCAACAAAAACTATTCAACCAGCTTCTACAAGCAGGTGATTTTTCACTCATTTTTGTAACAAATTTTGATAAGACGCATGTGTTTTGAATACCAACGTTTATTTTCTAGAGCTCAACATAAAATCGTATCGCAAGCATCATCGAGCAGTTCAATTCCACATGGACGTTCAGCTACTGTCAACAAGAAAACGTCGCTTGTTTTGTCTCCACGAGCTCCGCGTGTGCAGTTTGATGAAGATGATTCTCCACGACAAATTGATTGATTTTACTTGTTTTTCGTTCATTTTTATTTTTCTTTCTGACCAAATAACCAGGTTTTAGAATTTAATTTGCATTAACACATTCCGAACCCAAAGAGCCCGTACACTGTTAAAATTTTTCCACGCCACTTTGCTTTCTGGATCTCTTGCAATGTTTTCCCAAGAACATTTTTTTCTGTTGCTTCATACCATTCTTACAAACAATTTGGTTCCAGTTTTTTTTTAAATTTTGAAAATTAACACTATTGATATATGAAACTGTCAAATGACTTCGAACAATATTATTGCTTTTCCAAGTAAGATTTCCATCTTTTTATGTTCCAATCGTTTCGGTTTGTTCATATCATTTCTAATGAAGCTTGCTTTGTTTTTGAAATTAGGTTTTTTACAATCATCTTTTACCTGATTACTAAGATTCCTGATGAAAAAATATTTTCAAAAAAATATTTTTAAAAACCATATTTCAGTTTTTGTTTATACTTGAAAAAAATACAAAAAAGACCAACACTGTAAATCATAAAGTTAATGATTTTTTTGTTGAACACCACGATTTTTTCTTATTATTATATGTTCTTTTTCATTCCGATAGTTCAGTTTTCAAAAAAAAAAAGAAGAAAAATGGACGTTGTGTGAGCAGAAGAGAGGCGGAGTTAACTAGAGCTTTTCGCTCCGCCCCAGCTCTTGAGGGACGGGGGACGCACACTGCGAAGCGCTTGGTGCTTTTCACTATCCTCCTGAATCACTGAGATGAGAAAACTTTTTTAGTTTCATTATTTTGGTTACATCGTGATTTGTAATATATTTCGCTAAATAATATAATTTTTAAGGCGAAAGAACTAATAGTACCCTCGTACTTGCATCAGCGAAAGCTGTTCAAGATAGCCGAATGGTCAGGTTATCGCCATCCTTTGCGATTTAATGCTGCAGCCGAGACCTCAACTGATATCCAGACTGCTCCAAGCATTACGATTTCTCGTTTTGGTCAATTTTACAGTTGTTTTTGGCTACTCAGAATACGGGTTCGTGGATATTTGTGTTTAGCTGGGAAGTTTTTCACAGCCTTATAGGATCAAAGAAAAATATTTATCATTTTTGCATTGGTTTATAATCCTGCGTTCCAGCTCTACTACAAAATATTGTTATAGCTGTATGTCAGAAGATTTCTTATTGCACTGGCCATATCTAGATGAGGTGAGTAAAGGGTTCTTGTGAATAAAAAGGAAGCATTTACTCCAACAGTGTCCACAACATTACATTGAGAAACACTAGCACTAGCTTTTGATAATGGGCGACAACCTGTCAGTCATTCATTATATCACTTTTATGTGATGTTGTCCTCTCAAACGGCCCTCTCCGATTGGCTTGATTGTTCCAACACAAATAGACTTTTTAAACACTCACGAAAAAGATAGAAAGGTAGGAATGGAGAAAGAGGAAAGGAGTAGGATTAATATATCACATGAAGAACACAACTGTCATGAGAAGAGGTGTTGAATTTCGGTTTGAGAGAAAGATGTGGGTATGACTAAATTCATGGATAGTAAACTGAAACGTATTAATTTTCACGTTTCTTTTTTCATCTTCTTTTCCTAGTCTTTTAAAATTTACTATAGCTTACCCATTTTCAACTTCCCGCGATTTTCGTTCTGTTTTTCATGTCACATCCCGACCCTAGAATTTTTAAGTCATATGAAAAATGGGAAATCAGCGAGAGAAGAAAACAGAATGAAATTTACATAACTTAACAAGCGGGGTTTTGCGAATATTGAGTTTGAATGTTTATCCAATGCCCCCAGATAAAACTCATAATATTTCGAAATTTTTGACTCAGGAAGAAAAGCAAAATGTTTTTGAAGAGGGTCATGATATATCTTCAAACTCCTATGAGACCAGAAAAAGAGGACGAAGCTAGTGTTGTAAGGAAAAAAGAGCCAGCAAACCGAGAAATTGTCGAAGATTTTGAAGAGCCTTTTTTACTAGTGGTGCTGGTGCTGCTGGTGGTGGTTGTTGGTAGAGATCAAAACGCATACATACTCACGCAAGATGTCAAAACCAAAACTTGGCGACGACGGCGTTGGAGTCCAATCCCTTAGAGACTATCGAAAATAACAGAGAAGACGGCCCGATGTCGTTGACGAAAAGCTATCGGTGGTGACCAGCTAGTCAAAGTTTGTAATTTTGCCTCTTGTTAACCCTACGAAAATGAAAAAAGAAGAATTCCACAAGAATGAAAATGGATATAAACTAGTTTGGCAATAATAAAATTGGAAACACGTTTTTCAAAACAAAACTTATGATTTTAACAGACTTACCCTCAGCATACAAACGCTGATAATCAGCGTTTTCATCAGCACGTTTTGAACCTCGAAAACCGGACACACTGAATAATTATAACTCAGCAATCACAAAATGCAGAACCTTTGAAATTTTTACAAAATGAATAACGGAAATATAAACTTTAAGGTGTACTACCGCCCTGTCAACTTCACGGACCATTGCTTCAAGATACCTCCTTCGGTATAGTTGCATTACGACGCCCTTGTATGTTTTTGATCAACTACATTTTCAGGCAAACATTGGAACTATGGCTTGTAGTAATTCAAAGTGCGTGACAGTTATAGAACCAAGAATCCTTGCAGGTAAGTACTCTTCTTTTTCTTCCTCTCTATTTTCACTATCAATCATCAATAACAAACGCACCCCACCTCAACGTGTATTCTATCTCTCTAAGATATAGGGAGAAAGGGAGACGGGGTGACAAAAAGCAGATGGCTAGATCTCGGGGGGTTGACAACGGGAACGAAAAAATGCGGTAAATGAGAAAGGCGCCTCATTGAAGATGATCGATTTGTTACAATTGCTCGCACATATCCATCCGGATTTATGTGATTTCTGAGGTTATAAATTCGTTTATTACCGTCGAGGGATGTGTTTCGTTTATACAAAAACTGGGGAATTTCTAAGTTACAATGTTTAGTGCCTAGTCCAAAACTCGAATCCACCGTCGTTATGTTGGAGAGTCTGAAGATTCCGCTCACACGTCAATTATCACTTGTTCAATTATTCTTAGTCGCACACACTCACACCATCTGCTCTTTTTCTTGTCTTCCTTCTTCCCCAGTTCTTCAATTATCTAATCCAGTCCTTTTCTTTTTCGACAGCAAAGAAGCGGGAAAATGGAGAAAGCAAAAGAGATTTCATGGAATAAAATATTCTCTTCCGCATTGAATTGTTGCGCGCATCTACGCAAAACAGTGTTCTTACATGATTCGCTCATAGATGTTGTGGTTTCATGTTTGAAGAGAGAACAACGCCTTCCGGCAAACAAGAGAATCACAGCAAAAATAAGAAAGAAGGGATGGTTTGTAATTGTATTATTTCAAATCAGAAAGTAGATTTGACAGGATATAGAGAGAACAAAAAGCTAGAGGAACGATGGAATTTGTTTACCAAATTTCAACTAATTCGAGATGGTGTTGCATGCGTGAAGCATTAGTAATATGGTGCGCGTATATTGAAAATTAAAAATTTAAACTTTATTATCATCATATTTTTTGATAAGCGAAATCCTCACGTATTTGTTTTGAGAACAAAGTAGTGAAAAAGTCACCGAAATCTGTATTAATATTCTTTCGTGATGATTATTTAATTTTTCATGGCACAATCTTCGTTTTCTTTCTTTTACATGGTTTGCACTTTTGCAAAGATCATAAACCATGCTGAAGAAAGTAATATCAACTTATAATTGAAGCTCATATGACGTTTTTTCTATACGATTTTCCATTGTTGTTTCTATTTTACAAGAGACCCTTCATATATTTTCAATTTACTTCCATTGAACAACACTCAACCCGCAACTCCAGCTATTCGCAGATTTGCAAGCCTCTTCTGAAAACTTTGATTGGTTTTTTGAGTGTCTGTGTAGGGGAAAAACGCATAAAAAGAAAGGAATAAAAAAGAGGGAGGAGCAGTCGTTTTGTAGTTGTCGAATAGGTAATCTCATTGAAAATGGAATTTGAGTGGAAAAAGAGAAGAGAAAAAAGGAATGAGAGTACACCATTGGATAGTAAAGATGTCCTCAAAGCTCATCGTGACTAAAAACGCAAGGGACGGGGTCAATGAAGTGTGACAAAACGAGGAGGAAACCGTGAAAGAAATTGAATTACAGGTCAACACATTGGGAACAACATCATTCGCGGATGTTTCTCTGGAGTGTTCAAGTATGGATCTACACCAAAATCACAAGCTCAGCAAGTTTTAGGTCTGTATTTCAAAATAAAAACGGAACAAAATTACAAGATGTTTGGTTATAACGTTTTAAAACATTCTCAGAAAAAAACTGTTGAACGATTTTAATGAGCTCTAATGAATATAAGTGTTTTCCTCTAGTAGGAAATCTAATAAAAACTTAATTCTGAGATGGTCAGTTTTTCACAAGAAAAATTATGCCCGTTCTTTAAGACACTTATATAGATTACCGGGGGATACATATTTGCCATAAAAAACTCTCCAATTGAATTGAGACTCGCAAACAAAAAAATGTTCATATTATCTTTCCTTTCCTTGAAATACTGTGAAACAAGTCGACGATGTTTTTCTTTCTTTCATCATACTATTTTTCGTTAAATTGAGTTTAAAAGTGGTTATTTACAATCGAAACTTAAATTTAATAAACACCAAGAAAAATTATAATACTATAGGTTTTTCAGAAACTTCGTGTACGCGAATGCCAGCTCACAAACTATTGCCACCACGTCTAGCAGCGCGAAGTAGCAATAGAACTGTTGAATTATGTTGGTGTGCTGGGCAACTGTGCAATTACTATCCGAGTGTTGCTATTAACAAAAGGTTAGTTTTTCGTTCCATCCGAATCAAACCAAAAAATTATTTCAGCCCGTCAATGAATGTGATTTCTTTCTCTTCTGCTTTCTTGGTTCTGGTGATTCTCTTGGCTTAGAGTTGTTGAAAAAATCTACTCATATTTTTTCTGGAGTTTATTGTTTTTTGCAAATGGGTCTTTCATTTATGTATTTTTATGTAGACTACCAATGCTGACTCAATTTTAGAATTCCTGAGAAAAACAACTATTGCGAGCTTATCCACTCTGTAGGACTTTTTCTTTTACATTTTTGTCTTGTCACGTTTTTGATCTCGATTCTTCTGTTTGTTGATAAATACATGTATAATGCGTATGTTCTCTTGTTGAAACAAAACAGAAATCTTTGGGACCAGACCGATTTTGCTGATCTTATGAATTTGGAGTATGTTCAGCAAGCCTATAAGTCACAAGACCGAGTCGTATTGTTCAGAAAAAGAAAAGAAATCAGTTCTTAAGAAGAATACGATAAATAGCAATACAAAATTAGCCCGTAAACGACAGAAACCGTTGTGAAATGGACAAAATTAGAAACCAGAAGATAAAAATAGTCTACGAGAACATTAACCAAAAATCAGAAAACTGAAGCACACATTATTTATCGACTGTTGATGAGGGAGAAGCTGGTGAAGCAATGAAAATTTCCATAGCGCCTTGAATTTCTTGAAGCATCTCATCGATTGTTGGATCGTTGTTTGATCTTCCATTGGATGATTGGTCACTGTAAATTCAATGTAGAGAGTTGTGCATTGTGATATTTTCAATCGGAATATTTTTTATGCATTTTACCTGACGTGGTCGTCTGAGAGAAGCGGTGGCAGCGAAGAAGGTACATTAAAAGCCGATGTTGAACGACCGGCGGAGTATCTAAACGCGTGATTTCTGAATGTACATGAATATTTATACGATTATGCTCACTTTATAGTCCCACAGTTCTCATTAGCAAAAGGAAATTGTTCATTGCTTTGTGAAAAGTTGAAAGAGGGCAGGTTGAAAGATGATGTGTGATGCGGACCAACGTTGCAATGAAGAGGGGCTGAAGAAATTTGATGATTTTCATTCAGTCATTTAATTTAGTGATAATTTATGGAAACTTTCATGATTCAAACGGTTATCTGCTGATGATATTTATTTCTCAATTTTGTCACAAATTGACTTTTCGCATTCTTCATTATTATTTTGTGCTTAAGGCTTACCTGGCGGCGGTGGACACTCGTTTGGATCTTCCAGCTCTTCGTCTTCTTCTTCGCTTTTTCTCAATTTGCTTATATCGCTCAAAATTTTTCCCGTGGAAACTAAGCTTAGTCGAATGGGGCGATCGTCTCCGAAAAGCAAATCCGAAGTGCTTTTTGGCTTAGAAATGAGATGGATAGGCTTACAATGTGCACTCGATAGAGTTGATACCGAATCCCAGAGATTTTTTTCGAAAATCTCCTTGTCTAGTTCATCACTACTTTCTTTGAAAGAGCGATAGGGTCCTGAAGGCGCTGGAGGTGGTGGATCGTTGATCCTTGAAATGTTTAGACTTCTTCGAGAGTCCGATATACTTGAGTGAGTGTGAGAATGAAGAGAATAACCCATGTCAACATTCATCGTAGAATTGTTAGAAGCATTTTGTGGATAGCTGAATGTGTGACGTTGATACTCCTAAAATTGACTTTGTAAAAACATGTGGATATTTAGCAAACCTTCAACTTCTTAATTGTCAACCCGAACCGTTTTAAATGACCCAATCGCTTAACACCGATGTCCTCGAAATCTTCCCATTGCAAATCCAGCACGTCTTGAACAGTTTTATACTTTTGACTTTCAAATAATGGAATATATTCTGCTAGAGCTATTGCTTGGAGCCATTCCCTAAAGAATTGAATTTCGAGTGTCACTATCAATAACTTTGATACCTTAGGTTATTGTTTGGAACCACATGTGGCCACTGATCGACAATTTTCCAGCTGTGAATATCCATCATAATCTTTTTTCGATGATCAGGATTTTTGATACCAAGAGTCAAAAGATCGGCGGGAGTGCAGCGAGCTGAAAAAATAGCATTTTGTTAAAATTGATTGTTTATTAACTCAATTTTGCCTTTAAGTTATTTTGGCTAGGCATGCAGTTTCTTAGTTAAAGCTGCGTTTATTCTAACAATTTAATTTCTAAGAAAGTTACTTCCAAAATTTGCTGGATACATTTCAAACCAGTTTTCTTAGAAGAGGAATGACTATTCTAAATATAGTAAAATTATGATTTTAGAATCATTATTTCTGTAGTAAACTGTTTCTTTTTCTGTATATTGAAGCAATAACGGGCAATACATTAATTCCATGTGACACATGAACCTACTCAGTTGAAAACCGAAATTAATTTTATAGCAACTAATGATTGATGTTTTTGAGAGAATTTGTTGTTTCATAAGTGTGAACGTTCGCGGATAAATTACTCAGGCTATTTGAATTTGGACATACCTATAGTTTGAAGATCGTATCCTTGTTTTAAAAACAACGCCAAATATTGGCTCAAATGAATACTATCTAACCAGTTGGCTAGAATTTCCGCGTGAGGCACGCCACTCTCAGCCATTCCTGTTACATCTATCTCATAAATAGAGCGATAAAGTGAATCGTCCAACGCATGAATTGAAGATGAGGAGCCGCTACCGCTTTCTACAGAGCGGACACTATGAATAGATTCACGACCGGATTCATTACTTTGTACAGCGGACGGAAACGATGAAGCAGATGTAGATGTTGAGCACTGAGATATGTTTTTATAGATTTTTTACGAGTTGAAACCAAATGAAAACATACTTTAGCACTTTCGAAACCTGAACTACTTTGACTTGAACTCGATCCTATCGATGAGTACTGATTTTCCATTTTAGTTGGATACAAGCAAGACGAAGAAGAATACATCGTAGATGGCTCTGCAAAAAAGTGTGCTAATCCCGATACATTGAAGAAAAAAGCACAGAAAACAAAATGAAATTCTATATGGCATATCGTATGACAATGGGAACAAAGTAAAATGTTTCTATTTTTCAACTTCAAGAGGATTGATAAGTTTCGAAACGTGGACATTCTTCAAGATGAATGAATTTAGTGTGTTGTAGACAAACGATGGTATAAGAAGAAAGTCTGTCAAAAAGTCTGAAAATGACACAAGGCCCTCAAAGCCCGAAATTTGCGTTTTGTGAGTAAAATATTTTTTTTTGTATTTAACAGGATGTGTTCCCACAACACACTCCATTGAACCAACTTAAAAAATGTAATCTATCAAAAATATTCAGTTCATCTTCTAAAGTCAATAAACTTTTTAAAACCAGATTTTCAGTAAATTAGAAAAGAATTCTCAACTACGAAAAAAACCAATTGAAGTTTTTATTTTCTAAACTGGCACGAGCAGAGTTTTAGTCGACCAAATATTTGTGAATAGAGTGTGTCGCCACTTCCGCTCAAAAATTCAGTTTTGACGGAGTTGCTGAATTCTCCGAATCCATAGCTTTTTCGATTCTCTCTCTCACTCTGGCAGCCGTCTTGCTCTTTTTCTCTTCTTTCTCTATCGTCGTCTTTCTTGCTAGAACAAAAATGAAACTCGTTTTATAAGAAAAAAGCAAGAGAATAAAAGAAAGAAATAGAAGAATTACGCACAGGAAGAGTTTACTCAAAATTACTAAAAAACCTCTATTGTTCGAAAATCAAAAGATTTGTGTTTCAAATTCTCCAGCTTTTTTTGTCAACGTTTTATTTCGAAATTAGAAATCTCACTGTTACATAATAAAACTTTCTTACTTGGTGTCGGAGTGCGGCTGCCGTTAAAAGATGAGCCGAAAGAGGTGCATGCCGTCGAATTTGTTGGACTAAAAATTAGCATAATTAGATTATATCGTGTGCAATGAATTTACATTTGATAATTTTTTTCTGCGATCCACGATGTTGTCCTCCCAAATGAAGCCATTGGGGATGGTGTGTTTCGGTTTATGTCTGAATACAGTTTTCAACGATGAACGTTTAATTATTTGGCTGAAACACAAACCATGATAATGGCTAATAGAACAATTACGCGGTCCATTCGGTTTGGATGCTGGGGTTGAACAAAACGTGGATGTTGGGTTTTTCTGATTTTTCGCAATCCTCGAAGTCATTTGGATATCTGAAAACATTTTCCAAAGTAATGGGTTTACATTTCGGGAAGTTCAAACTTTTCGCTATTTTAAGTTTTTTGTTATTGCGGAAAATTGTGTTAGATGTTAATTAGTTCAATTGAGGATGTGTAAGTATGATGTTGAAGGCCTCAAAAAAGTTGAAAAAAACATACAATTTTTTCTTGCTTTAACTTTTGGACTTGGTGGAGTTGACTCGCTGTTCTGCACTTGATTCTCCTCTTCTTTTACAGCTGACGATCGGAAAAATCCGCTCCGTGAATTTCCTTTTTTCCCAAACACAACTCCTTTGAAGACCGCTGAGTTGCAACGTTCTACAACCTGAAAACAATCGTTTTTGAAGTCATTAAAGTGTTACTCGTTAGAGTCATACTTCAAACATTTACTCACCCACACACGGTCTCCTTTTGATAGGCTCAACTCGTTTCTTCAAAACCACAATAATCTTCTACTGTTATAACATTTGTGAATGTTTGGAAGTCTGAAAAATTCGAGAGTTTGAAGCGTTTTAGCAGTGATACGACGATTTTGAAGAAGTGGTGCACAACAAGTAATTTTGTTCACATATCTATTTGAATTCTGTGTTGAACCCGAAGTTTGCTGAATTTGCAGCGAAAAATTACTACGAAAAAATAGGTGATAGTTTTCGTGGAAAATTTTCAATTGATCGGCTATGACAGATGGCTGGGGTGAAAACTGGTCTTATCCACTCGAAGGGCAAACACTGAAAGCAAACACTGGCTTGAAAATAGTTATCTATGCATATTGCCGCATCAATTTAGAATTGCGTGAAGCTACAGGTATAGGTTGACAAAAATGTCTAGAGAAAGGCGCAATAACAGAGAATGAAGAAAAAAAAGGAGTGATGAAATGATGGCGCAGAAGTAAAAGAAGGAAAAATGAAGGGTTGTGGTGAAAAGATGAAAACCCTACAATCCTTCATCTCGGTGTGGCAATTTACAATTTTTTTGGAAGAAATACCGAAGCCATATTATTTACAGCCTATAAATTTTTGAAATTCTGTATCAACTAGTAATCTGTTTTAATTCACAAATTCAGTTTTTTCTTCCTTAATGCAAATTGCAATATGTGTTTAAAGGATTAGTTTTCTAACGTGTTCAAGATGTTTTGTTTGTAAAAGTCTGAATATTGCACAAAAAGAGCACTAAAATCTATTAAAAACTAAAATAAGAGGATTGTTTGCAAACAGTTTCGCAAAAAAAATCAACACTTTTTCATCGTAGAGATAGAAGAAAACAAAGGGTGTTGCGGGAGGAGGTTTCGTCCGTTTGAATCAATAACTGACGAATGGTGTGTGCAGATGGTGACCGTGAACTTGCAGCCAGTCATACTCAGTACAGGACACACTGTCGGAGGGAGGGCAATGTGCGCGCACACACAACGTTTTACCACCTTCCACCATTTCTTGTGAATAATAATAACCGTCAATGCGTCTCTGTTTCTTCATTGTTCTCTTTCTTTTTTCGTTCCGAACGTGTTTCTTAGGTCGAAAAGGCATTTAAAGAATTGGCGTTCCGCACAAATTAATAGGTAAAATGATTTCGACTTCAGAATTAGAGATTTGAAAAAATAGAAAAAAGAATACAAAGTGACACATAAAACACATCGACACACAAAAACCTCCGCGGTAAAAACCGAAATTTTATGAATGATGAATGATTAATACCTTCGTATTGCTTTCTGTCATATATGAAAGTGCTTGTATTGTTCAATCGCGCTGTTTGGTTTCCACCCATTGTTTTGCAACTATTAGGAGAAGAAGTAAAAAAATCCTTTGCGCGGGTTGAAAACGAAAAGGAAAAACAAAGAAATGCTTGCTATCATGGTATATTCAGATCTGCAAATGTCAGTACCAATCACACTCAGATATAATAGCGAATCGCGAGAGGAATGATCAATTATACGCTTTCTTTCCATGCACCTGCCGATATGCGGCCTTATTGACGCTCATCAAACTCACTTTTCAGTAAAAACCGGATCTCCTTGTATGTTATTGGATTTCGACCGCTTTGTTTTTTAGCCCACGCATAAGCTGTCTGTCCGTCTACATTTGTTATGTTGACGTCAATTCCAACCTATAATTGTCTTTTTTTCTCGATGTATCTAGGGTTTCAATACTCACTCTCAATAGGAAGCGGACCACCTGAATTTGTCCGGCTCCGGCTGCCATGTGTAGTGCTGATCCACATTTTGTAGTGAAATTTACATCCCAATTGTTACAAAGCAAAAGTGAAATGATCTATAAAGAACACATTTTTTTGCTATGAGAAAATTGTTATTCTTGAAGTGTGGAATATGGTTTAGTACTTAGGTATTTACCTGAACCTGCCCAGTCTCCGCTGCCAAATGTAATGCTGAGGCTGTATGAACATTATCCAAACTTTGGAAGCTTTGTTTTTTCAAACCGCAGTTAAAAAGCCGTTTGACCATCTGAAATGTCTCATTACAAACAGCTCGGACTGGATGTTCACTATTACTTTTTCTTGGCCATGTTCGCAAGCCAAATCAAACGGTGTTCTGCCTGCTCTATCCACCGAGCAAATATCCACATGATAGTAGACGAGTAAATTAAACTTAATAGATACATTCATGAAACTTTTCGGTAAATAAACAGACTTACATGGTCAATCATCCCATCGCGGCAAGCAATATGACAGGCGGATGAACCATCGTTATCGAAGGCGTCTACGTTTGCCCCACCTTTCAAAAGCATTGAAGCCATTTCAGTATCACCGTAAGTTATAGACAAATGTAGAGCTGTCTGACCTAGGATGCAAGATTTGAAAGTATCAGAAGTGAAAATTAAACAGACCTTTAGGGTCTGGCTCATCAATCCATATCGATTTGGAGTCGATGAAATTTTTTGCCATAATCGTGTTCCCCATCTTAACAGCGCTATGCAGTGGAGAAGATCTGAATACGCGAAATATTTAAAAAAAGAAAGAGTTTGTGAATGTCTCACTCTTCATTATCCCCAAAATCTCGCTTTGGGATGCTGAGAAGATCTGTAAAATATACATGAAGTCATCGTTAGAAGAGTTTTGGAACAATATTAAAAAGTTTTGATATGACTGAAATAGCCTAACCTTTCTGTAATATAATCTTAACTGGAAAACGAACCTGATATACTGGATGAAAATCGTCGGAGAAGTTTTCTGCTCGACATAATATTATCCGGCAGTCTGGAAAGAAACGACATTTTGATATTCAATTGATCTAAACTGAAGATAAAAGCTTTAAATACTCAGAAATGATAAATCTGCGGATTTTAAAAATAAAGTGAATCAAAAAATACATGGAATCTGGTCATAATTAGGCAGAGTTTTCTTTTTTGTAGATTAAAAACATTTAGTGAGTTGAACAAAAATAAACATAAAAGGAACACTATTTTCGAGTTTTAAATTACATGTCTTGTACATTTATATATTCATCACACTTTTCAAATTGAAATTGTTTGGATGTTAAAAATGATCAACGTTTCGTGAAGAAGGCAAAACTTTTCCTTCCATCTCTAAAAACGAACCTTCGCCTAATCTTATCCATCAAAAACACACACAGTGCAGCACATTCCACTTGAGTACTTCCGCCAGAGAACGAAAATGGGAAGACAAGAGATTCGAGCGCCGGAGGCAATTTTTGTAACTGCAAAGAAGAAATCTGCGCAAACAATCAATTGGAATTTTCATTAGATTTTTTGCGGTGGCATTAACAAACGATTAAAGTACCCAGCTTGTGTCCGAAAACTAATAAACACTGGAGTTAAATTTTACCAAAAAAAAACTACAACTTTCATCCTAAGTTTATTCAACAGATTACAGCTATTTTGATTTCAAAAACTATGTCATAAATGTTTTCATGTGATGGAAAAAGTGTACTGGGAAGATAAAATTTGATGTGGGTGACAGATCGTTTTCGTGAAACATCAATTCATAAAATCAAAATGATGTGGTTAACATTATCATGTTCTGTTTTCCAGATAATAATGACCTTGATTGCATTTCGCAGAAGAGGCCTTTTAATCATCATATCCGTTATGTTATGTACATACGTTGTCGTCGTATGTGATATTATTCTATTTGAATCGGATAGCAAAATGAGTTGAACAATTCCCGTTTGTAGACGTTTCGTGATAAAAGATAGAGAAAATATCATTTATTGAGTACAGGAAATGGGGAAAGAAAAAAATTAATAAGATGTGCATCAAATATACGACTCAGTTGTTTCATTCAGCGTCAATGACTCTTCTTGTTCTTTCATAAGATATGGTATCTCACTTCTTATTATTTTTCCTTTTTCAGAACGAGGAATGAAGTCGAACACAATTATTTTGTGGATAGCAAATGGGACTTTATGCTCTGAACTGTGATTTATTTCAAATCGTCTGGTTGTATTACATACTTTTCAGAAGCTTCTCCAAAGATTCAGTCGTTGGAACTTTGTTTTCATCATTTAACAACACACCACACCACACTTGTTGTTCTTTTTGCATGACAACAATATCATAAACGAGTTTATGATCACAAAGAATAGTCTCCATCCTTTCCGAAGATATCTGGAAAAAATTTTTCATTTCTTAAAGTCAAAATGTTCAATTTCCAGAATTTTCACAATAAGTCAGTAAGACCGGGGTTAAATTCAAAAAATCATCTGTCTCTAAAAAATTCTGTCAGTTCTCTCAGTTTTTTCTCAGTCAATGAACAAGCTATTAGTTGCCCACTAGACATATTTCTTTTACCAGGAATAAAAAATTCAACAGAAGACAATCCAAATCT